ACTAGCAAGATATATGATGAACCCCACTAGTCCGGCGTGGTTCATTTGTTTTTGGTTGTTTAACGAGTTTTCTCTTTTTCAGTATTGATTTTCTGTTGGATTGTTAAGCTAATCTCTAAAACGGGCGAAAATGTGCGCAGATAACCCAAAAGAGCAAACGGAAATATCCTAATGATCAGCCCGAAACGTGGTAGGTCCCATGAAAGTGTTTAAAATAGATGATGAACCCCACTCGTGTGGCGTGTTGAAGGTTTTTGCTGGCCGGAATCGCCTAATGAGGGGCGTGTTTAAGTATATATGATAAGCCGGAATCGTCCAACGGGGGACGTTTTTAAGATATATGACGAACCCCAATGGTCTGGCATGTCTAAGGTATATGATAGCCGGAATCGCCAAATGAGGGGGTGAGTGTTTAAGATACGTAATGCGCCGGAATCGCAATTTCATATGGGTTTTAGTTGTGTACAGGTTTATTACTGTTTTTTCTACTGTTTGTATGTGTGTCTTATTTTGGAGTTAATATCCAAACCTTACAAAGACGCAGATCAAACACAACAAAGGCGCAAATAACCAAATGATTTGCTGGAAAACGCAGCCAGTACCAGATAACACCAAAACGACGCAGATAACACAAAAAATGAAGGCGCAACTAACCGAGTGATTTGCGAGAAAACCCACTAGGTGCCAAATAAAACCAACAAAAAGACGCAGATAGCTCCCAAAATAAAGACGCAGAGAACCCCAAAAATGAAGACGCAGATAACACAAAAAATAAAGACGCAGATAACCCAACAAATAAAGACGCAGATTACTATTTCTCCGTTTGTTTGCCAATGTTGCCGCCAGCTTCTCCCCACCCGGTTTGGCTGATTCCGGAGCAGTACTCGTACTGTCTGAACTTCAGCTGTTTTGCGCACTTCAGGCTTTGTTTGCGGTCCTGCTCACGCCAGGTCCAATATGCAAGCTGTGGCTGGAACTTCAACGGCTGCATTGTGTCACGCCTCTCTGGAGGCATTGCTGGAGTTGTGCGACGGCGTTCGGGTGGATTTGGGCTCAGGGCTTCGCAGTCGTGACAAGATCTGAAATCGCGGTCTTATGAACCTGACAAGACGCTAAAAATATTGTAAGCCCTCACCCACCAGAAGAGCCGGAACCCTCAGCAAATCATGGTCCTTGAATGCTTGCTTCGCCCGATGATCCAAGAACTTGATTCGAGAGACCTTCAGGTCGCAACCGCAACATCGGTACGAAAGTTTGTAAAGATTTCCGTGAAGAACTTGCTGTTGTCAACTGTTGAGATGCTGGTGCTCCCCCAGCATCTGTCTCTGTCTCAGTCTCTCTCTGTCTCGGTGCTTGTCCAGTATGACCGCTGAAAGGAATGATGGAGAGATGGCTTGCAAAAGCATGACCTCACAAACGTCGAAACTCAATTACAGAGTCGCATCATCATGCATCATTCATGCAACCTAGATCTATAGTCGCCAGTTACTAAGCAGTAGAGCGGCCTCCCGCACTTTTGCGCACGGCTCTCGTTCTGCTGCATCGTGTCCGCCACCTCTGGGTATGAATGATCGATACAAGCTAGATCACGGTCACAAGGGTTTTGCATGATCCATTCGCGTGAAGCTTGATTCTACACGGTTCTGTTGGTGTGATGCCAAAGCATGAATCCCGAACTTCGTTTTCCAGGCAGTGCCGGAGCCGAGGACCGACGGCACAGACGAAGGCGGTTCTGGCCTTTGCAGCTTTCTGCCGTCAACGTCACAGCCTCAGCGAAGCCACGCAGCGGCATTGCGCCTGCTGCAGGCACATGCCGAGAGAAGCGCCTCACGGTGATCACGACGGAGGCAGGGCCCCGGCGGCAGGGGCGGCAAAACTTCAACCTGGGAGCCGATCGCCGAGGGTTCTCGGGGCCGTGCTGGATTTGGATGCCGTTCTGGAAGGAGCCGAAGCGCCGAGCAAAGCGACGATCCGGCCATGACTCGGCAGACGCGAGTCTAGCCATTTAGCCGGCAAAAGACATGGGTGTGCATGCGCGTGTGGCCAAGCATGGTGTAGATGACATATGCTGTAGAATAGCGCAGAGGCATGAGCACGACTGGCACGCAGAGTTCGGTTCGAAGCCGCGCGGGCGCGGCACATGTTGGCAGAGCCATGGGCTCGCGGATGGCGTTGCTGGCGTTGTGCGTGGCCATGCTGGCTGCAGCTTTCGCAGAGTCTCCGGATCTCAGCTGCGCTTTGCAGAAGCGGCCGAAGTGGCTGGTCGACGGGCCTCTTGGCCCCGAAGTCGCTTTGCAGACGGAGCAGACTGAGGCTTCGGAGGATCTCAGCTCAGCCGGCTCAGCCTCGGCCTCGGAGCTTGGCGCAATGTGGTTGAGTCCCGGCGCGCGCTTCCGCGGGGGGAGGTGTTTGAAGGCCAGGCGGGCCAGGCCTTCCTGGGCGCAGCAAACGCAGAAGCGGCTGGTCGACGCGAAGCTTGCGAGGATCCTCCCGGAGAAGGTGACTTGTCCACCGGGACAGATGGTCATCGGAGATTTTTCAGAGACTTCCTACAGCTTCTCATGCTGTGACGCCGGCATCCACTGTGGAGGCTGCCGCAAAGTCGCCAAGGGGCGTTGCACAGAGTGTGCTGCTGGCTATGTCCACCAAGAGATTCCGATCCTCAACGTCTCCTTGTGCTTCCTTTGTGATGATGTTCCTGGCTGGCAGGATGCACAGGGTCTGAGTTGCCGAGATTACGAAAGCCTCGGCTATTGCTCAAGCCATGACGAGGAGCCGTTCCGGGGCTTGAGCGCCAGTGAGGCGTGCTGTGCCTGTGGCGGGGGCAGTGTGCACGCGACCCCAACCAGGGTGCCATTCATGGGCAAATCCCTGTACTTTGGCCAGAGCATCGACACTTTTCCAGAGCCTCAGGCTTTCAGCACCCAAGTCGGAGCCTGCAACTTGGCAGAGTCCGTCCTGCAGATCGCAGGGTCGGGCGAAGTGTCAGGAAAGGTTTCATCCTCCTCGCGGCTGAAGTGCTCGGTGATGCTAACACAGGATCCGATGCGTGGCATCTTCAGCCCCGTGTCCTTCAGCGTGCCGGTCTCCAATTTCTCCTACGGCGACCAGGTCTTGGCCTTCAGGTACTGGGGTTTGGACACGATACCAGCAACAGGAGGCTTCCCCGTCCAGTCCGGGCAGAAGTGGGAGAACTTCCAGCTAGTCTGCAACCCGTCATGCCCTTGGCTTGAGCTTCGGACGGACGGCACAATTCTCAGCAAATGTCTCGGCTTCAGCAAGCACGTGGAGATGCCCACGCTCTCCCGATTTGGTGGCATGCCCTCGTGCAGCTGCCAGGTATCGGCGCGGGAAGCCGCGCTTTTGCCAGCCTCAACCGCCTCCACCAGCTTCTTAACAGTCCAAGCGAGGCTGTGGAAGGCAGGCGTCTACGAGGTGGCTTCAGTGCAAGCTCGCAACGGCGTCCCATTGCAGCCCTCGCGGCTGCAGGAACAGGTGGAGGGCCTTCGCTGGTACGACGGCGAAGGTGAGAGCTGGAAGTTGCCGGTTCTGGAGAATGCCAGCAGCGGGCAGCGCTTCGTGGTCTCACCGTCGCTGCCCCCAGAGTCCCTGCACAAGCATCAAGAATCAGGTATAACAGGTATAACTGTATAACATGTGCAGAAAGGAGGAACGTCTAATGATAGGTGCAGGTACTCGTGAAATTGGCTTCTTGACCAGCAGAGGCTCCTGGACGTTCAGTGCCGCGACGCAGACGGCAAGGCCGCTACCTATGCCTGGTCTCGTCTGACGGGGGACCTGACCCGCGATGGCTTTTCGGCCTTCAACTTGGACCCTCGCAGCGGCCTCGTTTCGGGTACTCCGCGGCTGGAAATGGCCCTCTCCGCAGAAGGCCGAGGCAGCCTGGAGATTCACTGCAGTGTGGCTCTCGGTGGCAGCCTGTACGACAAGGTCCTGCCGGTGGCACAGATCACAGTGCACGTCGTGGACGACATGTGCTGGGTCCCGGCTCAGGTGTCAGGCCATTTCCGCTGGAAGCAGTTCAGCAGCATGGCGGCCTGCCTCGCGCTATGCCGCGAACGTGCGGATTGCGCGGCGGTTCGTGATGCGAGTCCTGGCTGCCACGTAATGGTGAGCGACGGGGAAAGCGAAGCCTTCACAGGTTCGGTGCTGCTGCGATTGGAAAACTGCTCGGAGGAAGACACGGGCCTAAACCTGACGTCCAAGGGTGCCAGGTACTTGCAGGGCGTTTTGGAGCCCTCCAACGATTACAGGGACCAGGTGGCCTGGTTAGAGCTTCCCTGCTGGAACTTGTTGGTTAGAGAGCAACGAGCCCTAGGTTTCACTGGGAGCCCTCGCAATGCTGTTTTTGGGTTCCCTGGAGGTGTCGTACTCTCGTGCAGGGCTCACGCCGCAGCTCCAGCTCCACCTGGTGCATCGCAGCTTCGCGGAGATCCAGCTGCCGAAGAACTGCGATGCTTCGTCCTGGCTGCTTTTGCATGCGAACGTTTCGGATTTCCAGAACGGAAGCATGAAGGCAGCTGGTTTGTGCCTTTTCTCGCATCGTACACTGAGAGCCGCTTTTCCGGAAGTCTCTTTGAAGGCGCCGGAGTACTTCGGCGCAGCCGTGGCCTGCATCGACAAAGACGTTGTTGCCAGAGCCTCGTTTTTTCGCCTCAGGGCCTCAGAAACCTTGGAAAGGGCAGCTTTGTGCAGCTGTAGGCCGGTGCCTTCAGCAACGGCTCAGAGAAGTTTGACCTTCGCCTCCTCCCGTCGGAACTCGACGACACAATCGAGAAGCCAAAGGCTCTCCAGTCGGCGGAGCTCTCTCTGGCCATGCCGACGTGCAAGCAGCCATCTGCGGGCTTCGTCGTCGGTTCCGTGGAAGACTCAGAGCACTTCTCCTTGGATCCATGCGAATGCTTCGGAGAGCAGCACGCCCGAACGAGCCCAGTCACCGAGTCCTCCAGTGCGGCCGTGCCCAGGGTCGGTCCCTTCAACGCCTGGGCCTCAGCCTCATGATGCTGGTAAGTATATGTTTAGTACAGAATACGGTTAGTCTTAATCTCGGAGTGTCTCCATGTGTTGAACTCCCAGAACGGCTCCGTCAAAGACCAGCTGATCTCCTCTGGGCCCTACACATGCGAGCACATCTCTCGCATCCACCACTTCGCTGCTGCGACTCTGGCGAGCTGTGCAACTGCGTGTAACGCTAACAGCAATTGCAGCTTCTACCAACTCGGTGTTGCTTCAGAGAGCTGCACGCTCTTCCGGCGTTGCGATTACCTTCAGCAGATTGACCTGCAGCTGGTCAACAAGTTGTATGGTGTTGCTCCCACGGGAAACTTCTGTCGCATCGCGGATCCCGAGCAATGCTGGGAGAAGATCAAGCGCCGCAGCTATCTCAGCTTATCGCCATCCAGCATTCCCCACTGCCTCTTCCAGGCTCAATACGATGCATGCGACGCACTGCAGCAGATCTCTGGAGAGCAGGCCGGGCAATGCCAGCGGTGCCAGTCGCTCGGCATGTCTTTGCAAGAGTCGCACATTGGACGCTCTTGAATTCTTGCAGGGGTTTTGTTGGCTTGTGTCCGTTACAGACCGTGACTCAGGTACCTGGAATCCAGCAGCTCGTACGCTGCCACAGGAATGAGCAAGGTGCCTTTGCCCGAAGACTTCCCATCAGGTTCGCAGGTTTCCATCGGTTGCAACTACACTGGTCGCTTGTTCTCCAGGCTAGAGAACGGCTTGAAATGGGACGGTCCGTGGCCTTCGGCGGTCTTCACCTGCGTCAGCGGCAAATGGGTCGGGGAGCCGGGTGCGTGGCAGCACCTCGAGAACCTTACATGCCTGCAGTGCATCCAGCTCGGGACGCGAGAGTGTCAATCCATCATATTGTCAGATGCCATTACTCTGTGGCACAATGAGTTTGAACCCTCAACTTAGGATTAAGAACCTTTTGAAGCTTGGAGAGCCTCGTGGAAGACTCGGGGATACTGTAGGAGCTCTCGTTGCCAGGACGCCAAGCCTGCGGCGCCTTACCGAAATCACGCTTCCTGAAGTGTATTTTCTGGAGCACCGGCGAATACAAGTGACCCATGCCACGACGGCAGGGCCGGGTTGTGCCACCGCCAGCAAGCAGACGGCTTCTCCCTTGGAGGTGCTGGTGCAAGCTGAGGTTTGGATGCATGTGTGCATTTCGAAGAAAGAGATCGTGCTCTCAGCTTGTGGTGAAACTCCATCGTTCTACCAGGATGTGCAGTCGCGACTCCATGTGACAGGAGAATCAGATGCTTGCCTCAAGTACCAGCAGGGCAAGCTCGCGATCTGCAGCTGCACGGATCCAGGGGCGTTGCATCTCGAGAGGCAGCGCCTCAGGCTTGGCTCCAAATGTGTGTTCGCCCCAGACATCCAGAAAGACCCCGGTGGCTTTCAGATGGTCGATTGCGATGCCTTCGGCCTTTGGCAGCTTTGGCACCTCAGCTGCCATCAGAGCTTGTTTTCGTGTCGGCTTAGGCTTGAGTTTGCTTCTTTCTCCTCCAGGAGCTTCAGTTCCGGGAACTGCATCTTCGGCATGGACATAGTGGACACGGCGGACCGTGCCTGGAACTTCTCCGTGGCGGTGCAGGGAGACGACAGTGAGCTGCAGTTGGTGCAGATGAAGTTTGAACCCGAACGCCAGTCCGAGCCGGTGCGGCCGGCGTATTCCTTGAGTCAGTCGAACCAATACGTTTCGATATGCCTGACCGTGCGGGATGGGGCAATTGTTATCGCAGAAGGACCGTGCGAAGGTGGCTTTGTCATCGAGGATTTCTCGAATGGGAGCACCATCGCCTACTATCCGGATCCGAACCTGCAGGAGGATCCCTACTACCTCTGGACCGACGGAATTAGAGTCTGCAACTCAGGCACCAGCTGCGCATGCCCTTAAAGCACCCAGGAGCACTAGATCCGTACGTGGAGCTTTTTGTCTCGACCTCCGAGGTCGGTCTGTTGCGCACCACCGAAAGCTTGCCGGACGCGGCTCTCTGGAGAATTCTTCCCGACACATGGAATGGCGGCACGGTGAAGCTTCAGAGCGTGCACTGGGGTTACTGCGTGGCATCTCCAGGGGAAGCCCCGCTGGAAGTCAACGACGACCCAAGCTTCAACAACGAAGGTCCGTGGATGTCAGCCGGGTGCCTCGATACATTCGTGACTGGGCTTTATGCACAAGGCGATCATGACCTCGAAAACTTCGTGCTATGCGGAAACTGGGATGACGCCACGCAAACCTTCCTTTATATGTCTTATGTTGGGGGCGGGTGCAGGTCCTTCGAAAAGACGCTGACGGAAATTGCGAGTGAGGTAACCATGGAGTGCCCGGACGGCCAGGCCCTTCATGACGTTACCGCTGCGCTGCCATCTCACGGCCATCACTTTGCTCCGCAGACCTTGTCTTGGCAATGCTGCGACGTGTCGCCTCCACCTTACGTGTGGTTTAACCGGTGGCACACCTACGAGCTGAGGGCCACGTTAAAAGGGGACAAGTGGATCTACTCCTGCGAACATGGGAACGACAATGATGATGACAACGATCTGGGCACGTTCCAAGGCTCCTTTATGACCGGGCTGACGTGGGCCCGCCATGAGGACGATTCCAGAGTCCATTGTGTATCAGGGATCCAGAGCCTGAGTCCCAGCGACTCCGTATACTTGTACGAGTGCGACGACCCGTCCTCGCCCGCCTTCGTGAATTGGGCCATGGATGCGCTGCCATCGTCGTCAAGGGCAAAAGCATCCTCGGCTCTTCTGGAGGAGCTGTCGAGCTGCCAGGCATGCCAAGCATCCCTCTTCGTCGACTTGAACGAGAGCACCTTCAACAAGTCCGGAGGGATTTCCGAAGCCAGGAATCTTTCGCTACAGGTTCAGAGCGCTTCCGAGCTTTCCGTGCAGCAGAGGCGCTTCGGAAAGAGAGGTGGTTTGGGCTTAGGCCCCTGGGCAGTTTAGGCCCTCTCCGTCCCTCCTTGGCTTCTCCCTTCCCAGGCAGGGCTACCAGTACGTGCCCCAGCTGAAAGTTTTGGAGAGGACCGGCGAGAAGGAAGAGGTGCTCTTCGTCTGCCAGCTGGAGGCAACCTTCGGGGCCAGCCGCCTCTGTGCCTTCCAGGCCTCTGTCAGCCCGAGTGATCTGCAGGGGGCCTATGCCACGGGCTCCAACGTGACCGTCGAAAAGGTGTGCCCTCTGCTCATGAACACGTCGATGGAGAAGCTCCCAAGGCCAGCTAAAAGAGGGGAAGAGAGAGGGGTCGCATCTTGCATCTCTTCTCGGTCTTGGGAGGTCGGAAGCTGAGCCCGTGTCTGGGCTCCGAGGCCTGACGATGAAGAGCTTCTCAGACATGATGATGGACCAGGCCTACGCGAGCGTCGCCTTCGGGAGCCCAGAGAAGTGGCCCTTCCTCTTCCACGGTTTTGGTGCTGAGCGGGCTGATGCCGTCGGATTCCTCAGCGTCCCGAAGAACGGGGACCCGCCCTCCCGCTCTCCTGCTCTCTAGGCCAAAAAGTTGACACACGCCTCTCACCTCGGTTCTCTTCCTGTTTCCTGTGCCTGCTTGCCCATGCTCCCATGCTCCCATGCCCGGCAACGTGCAGGACACCTTCTGGGGCCTCAGCTGCCCTCCGCAGGCTGTAGTTGTCTCCGAGGGGCAGACGCTGCCTCACTGCTTGCACATCGGCGCCTCGGAAGACGAGATGAACTTCACGTCCTTCTCGGGGAGCGCGGCTTGTCCGGCTGGCACTGCAGTCAGCGGCTGGTACAACCTGCCCGGGATTCCCGTGAAGAGCGGGACGAGCGAGCTCAGCGAGAAGGGAGGCCCGGCCACTTGGACAGGGCTTCAGGTCTTCTGCCGCAAGACTAGCCTCCTGGCGGCCTGTGCGCAGCCCGAAAAAAGCCACTGCGAGGCCGGCGCTGTAGAAGTGAAAGCAGTCTCAATGGTTTCTCAGAGATTGGAGGGGAAGCAAAGTGCCAGGTGGGCCACGTGGTGAACGCTTTCAGCTACAGCGGCAACCAGTTCAAGCTGGGCTGCTGCAGGCAGGAACTGCGCTGGCGGAGGGCAGTGGAGTTATGCCGCGATTGCTATCCAACACAGTATGACTGTCCTTTGTCGCAGCATGTCACATCCTTCAGAATATTGCACACGATGAGTTTCCGTTGTGAGTGCATCTAAGCATGTTAGTGATCATGACCCGTGCAGGCTTCAGAAGCCCATGGGCGCCAAGCTGACCCCAGATCCGCGGAAAGCACGGCTCTATGACGGCTTCGAAGGCCACGTTGGTGTCTAGGGAGTAAGCCCGAAGGGTTAAGGGCTTACAGTGTTCCGGAGAGCTCGGAGCTCCATGCGACTTGGGAAGGCTACTACTGCCCTGCGGCCATGGGTTCCACGGGGATGGCCCTGTACCGGAAGTCGCAGATCGGCGCCTTGGGAGAGCCAGGCCTGTTGCCCTCTACACTGCCCCACACCCCAGAAAGGAACTCATGAGTCTGTGTCGTGCAATACAAAAAAAGACTTATAGCACGAGCACGGTCATCGTAAGCAACAAAGGCTTTCCTACAATCAGACGCTTATCTGCGCCAGGGACCTCCATGGACTTCAATTGGACCCTGAGCTGGGACAAGTTTGATGGCGCATGGGTCTTGCGTCACGGCCGGGAGCAGTACGCTTCCGTAGAGAGCGACGCTGTGTCACCGCTGGAGATAGAGGCGACTGCCAAGTTCTCCGCAACTAAGATCGAGGCGCTCACGACAGAGGCCGCGAAGCCCAAGGTGCAGAGCCCATTCCCAAAGAAGAAGCCCACGTACCCGAAGCTCGTCCAATTCCGGCCGGTGCAGCCTGATTACAAGGCGTACTGCAATCCGGCCTTCCTGCAGAACCCAAGCCTCTTCAAAGGCTCCATCTCAGACACCAACCCATGCTACCACACCTTCCATGCGGAACTCGTGAAGGCACGGGAAAGCCCTGCTTGCGAAATCCCTGTGCGCTGCTGTGCCCCTGTTCGCTTGGGGCTTGGGGCATGTGTTCCTGGTTTAATCAGCCTAGGGGCAACGGAGCAGAGCAGAATGCTGTGCAGGGCGTGCCGGAGACGAAGGGAATCACCGAGAAGTCGTTCTGGTCCTGCGCCGACCGTGACACAGCGCGGCGGTACCTCTCCAGCATGGCCGAGTACTCGACGGGCAAGGCGAAAGCAGAAGCAGCGAAAGACTCGAAGACGCGCCTGGGCTGCAACCTGTCATGCGGTGCGCAGATGCGGTGCACAGTGCATCTGAGGGTGAATATCATTGAGACTTCGCTGTCGCTTGCTGCAGCCATCGTTGGAGCAATTCCTTGGGGCAGCTGGGGAGCCTCGGGTGAAGCGAGCGTGAAGGACACCACCGTGCGGACAGAGGCGACCACTGCTGAGACCCTGGACGAACGGGTGCAGCAGGCAGCACAGCAGGACCAGCAGGATGCTCGAGACATGGCAACTCAGACCGACGGGAACATGTTCGACGTAAGCCAAGCTGAGCCGGTGGTTGCCAAGAACAGCGAGCTGACCAAGACGATCGCCTCGAGTGTCCAATCCATCCTCGGGGGCGTATCCACCGGCCTGGGGTACTACGACGAGTTTAAGGGAGCTGCGGAGGATGCAGCCAAAGGGGAAGAGTCGCCTTTGAAAATCGCTAAGGAGATCCAGAAGAAAACGCTCCCCGACTTCGAGGCGAGGGGAAAAGGGGGCCCTGCAGTTTGCGCAACTCAAAGACTCAGCCCGACTCCGCCGAAAGCAGGCGCCCATCTACGAGTTCGACAAAAAACTGGCCGAAGCCTCGTGGAATGACTGCGTGCCACTGCAGTTTGGCCTGTCGAAGGTGCTGGTCGGGCTTTTCCAGTCTAGCTTCCTTCAGTGCTGAAGCCCTCACCTCCGTTACCTGTCTACCGCCTGCTCTGACACAGAAGCACTAGTTCACAGACCCATCTTGACTGAAGCATCCAGACAGTTTTCTTTAGCCAGTTCCCAATGCTAAGAGACCTAACCGAAATGCTCACTCACGAACTCCGCCTCTAGGAAGAGCCCTTGGGCTTGCAAGTCAACTGAAGCCCGGCATACTCAACTACTTGACGAACGCTTTATACATTCCCCCGCAAACAGACACCACTACAACCATCCCCCTGGCACAAGCTCTTTCGCAGCCTGGCTGCTTACCGCCTTACTGGAAACCCGAGTCTTGAGCCTTTGTCAGGTTCATCAGGACCAGTCTTGACAGTTCCGGGCCGGAACCGTTACTGTATACACTACTAGGCACTAGGTGGTAGCCGTTGCTTGGAATGAAAACATATTGCTCAACAGCATCATCGAACTGTTTGACGGTCAAAGAGACATAAGTACAGCGAGGGACCTTCCAGCTACGCACTTTGCTCCTGCGTTGTGTGGACCTCTCGGCCGTGAGAGCTGCACGGCATAATTCTACTTCAGACGGTGATACTCCGAAAGAAACCTGGATGCTTGAAGCTAACTTTCGTACAAATACTTGCCATCGTGTGGGTGGGTGATGACAGTTTGCATCGTTTCAAGACTTGAATCTGGTAGGAGCGCACCTGCCTGCTTGGAGGGGCAGGGGATTTAGTAAGTAGGTTACAAGTAGAGTTATAAGTACCCTAAATGGAAGTTAGCCCAATCATAATCCTACTTATAAACGACTTGCGAAGTCCCCTGCCCCTCCAAGTGGAGGTGATGTGCGACCTCTTCTGCGTGGAGAACTCCGTGCGAGAGGGCACCGCAGCCATCCTCGAGAGCCTTTCGGACTCTCAGCAGGTGCTTCTCGAGAACCTCCAGGCCGGCTCCGTGCGCGAAAGGGGCCCAGCTGGGTAGTCTGGGGTCTCTCCAGGTATCTCTAGGTGATTTGCGACGCTGGCAGAGTACGAAGTGGCAGCTGACTCTCTCTCTCTCTCTCTTTCTCTCTCTCTCTCTGTCTCTGTGTTCTGCTTTCTCTCCGGAATATCTACGACGCATACGCAAGTTCAGGCCTTGCTGAATTACCAGACCGAGTACATCCTCTGGGCGATTGGGACCTTGGCCAAGAAGGACCACGACGGCAGAAACAAGCACGATGCTCCGGCACCGGAGGCCAGTACACTGCTCGAGGATCTGCAGAAGATCGACTTTGAGGACATGGCAAAAGTGCAGCCGAGAGAGATTCTGACCTGGCATGCAACTGCCGGTGAGCAGTTGTACTCTCGCATTGCTGCCTTGGTAGTGAATGCCTCGAAAGAAACCTGGCCTTTGCGGCTGAAGTCTGCTAGGGGAATGCTGCACCATTTCACCGCCGCTTTTCAGCAGCGGCTACGTGCAGGTGCTCCGCAGGAGTCTCAGGTGGCAAGCAAGCTCCAAGTGCTGCGCTCTGGGGTGGCCCGGCATCGGGAGCGCGCGAAGACGATGCAATCACTGCATGTGCAGATGGGCTTCAAGTCTGTGTCCACTCCATTGGTCGAGGCTTTCCTCCACGTCCATGAGAAGCACAGCACCTACAGCATGCTGGAGATGAGAGCTCTTGAGCTGATGGATTCCGCCGTCGTGTCGGCCCAGAATTTCTCTCAATGCGACAGGGACAGCAAAGCCATGCGCGAAAGCTGGCAGCGTGCGATGTGGGCCGAGGAAAGAAGCCAGGAGGCAGGAAAGCTGGTAGAAAGTGCAGGGCGTCCCTGCCCTTGTAGGTTCTCACAAGCCCAAGCCCGTCCGCGTGCCTGACTGCAGGCTTTGCTGGAGGCCTGGGCCGCCACGGTGTCCGGTGCCGAGCGGCTTCTCATCGCCCTGAAGAATGAGCAGCTCTTGTTGCGCCTCGTGGATTTTGCCAAGGACGGGCGGCGGGTGCAGCAGAGGGCTCGGTGGGAAGAAGCCTGAACTGTTCCCAGGAGGACATGGACATGGAGCCATTGTGTGGCGACACGCAGCGGCTGGTGCAGCAGTTCTACGGTCGGGCCGTCTCCTTGCTGGACCGTGCTGCATGGCCCCTGGTGCAGCAGGCGATTACCTTCCAGGCCGGTGTGGCCAGGGTTTAGAGGGCTTCGACGACTGGGGGTGAAAGCTGCTGAGGCCGTGGCATCTTACCAGGAGCGCCAGCTGCAATTGAAGCGCTTGCAGTACGTCCCCTTGCCCGAAATCTGGCAGAGCCTGAAGAAGCAGCTCGCTGCCGTGGCGGAGCCCTCACAGTTGGAAGGCTCGCAGGTGGCCGCAGAGGCGCTGGCGGCCATGGGCCCGGAGCTCTGTCCTGGGCCCCAAAGCTGCCCACGAGGACTTCAGCTCACCGAGGGCTTCGAGGCCCACGGCCGTGCCTGCAGAGACAGCGCAAAGACGGTGCATGTGCTGTCGCCCCACGCGGCGGCCGGCTTGGTCCAGCATCTGCACCTGCGTTCGGAGCCCCTGCGCAGCTTGGCGTTGCTGCAGGAGGTGGAGCTGGCAGTGGAAGGTCGCCCGGCGGGGGTGCCAGCTTGAGATGCAGAATTTGTTGCACGCCAACAATGTTAGGGCCTAGGGCCTAGGGCGTCAAGGTGGGCTAATTACCGACTGCGAAGTAACATTCAGAGTTGCAGTGTATACAGATTTATTCAGATCGTCGGCAAGCCTGCGTCATTTGTTGGAGAGCAGGAGGTCCCTACCCAAAGCCACGTCGGTGGTGACGCTGCACGTCTCACCTTGTGCAGATCTTTTTGCAGGTGTACCCAGGTGGCCAATGTGCATCGGGGCAGCACTCTAGCCACTCTTGCTTAGCTGCTTAGCTTGCAGTGTAGGCGTTCCTCTGTCAGTGGCTTTGCTTAGCGCCAGTCCCTTACGCCAATTTGGTCTCTCCATAAGCAATTGCTTTACAGTGCTCGTCAGGCTGTTTCGGCTTTTCTTTGGCAGGCTGTGCTACACACTGAAGGCAGGGGAGGGTGGCTGTGAAAAAGCCATCTCAGTTTTTTTTGATTTTTGGCCTGCTCGTGCATTGAATGGGGCATGGCACTTGCCATGCTTGTCTCAATGGGCACGATTTGAATTCGATGGCTTCAAAGGTCAGCCACCGAAAGCCCAGTACAGTCGGAGTGAGACAGTCCTTCGGCGATCTGATTCAACGGTGAGACAGGATGTATTTTGTCACGGGTATAGAAGCACATGGCGCTAATTATGTGGCAGTCATCGCATGATCCAGTTCTGCATTCAGAGCGTTCTTGCAGTGTTCTGCTTCGAGGGGCAACAAAGCCGTCGACAGTTTCAGCTGTGCTTGACCGGAAACATAGGCTTTCTATCGGCTGCTTCAAACTAGATCCCAACACGTTGTCAAAAAGTACACCTTGACACAGTGGAACCCCTCTGGAAGATGTCAGTGCGCGATTGCTATGGCAACTAGCCGCAGAAGCAATTCAATAGTGACGAAGTAGATTTAGCAGTGGATGTCGTCGTACGAGAAGACCAAACCGTGACAGTGCAGGCAATAGGAGCAATCAAAACATAGAGTGACCAGCCGTCAAAGGCGGACCAGGGCAAAGTAGGCGGACGCAAGCAGGCGGGGTGAGCTTAAGCTTAGCAGCCAAAATCAACCCATAGAACCCAAGCAGCTGTGTTGCAGAAGACCACTCCGCCATGTCGTGTCGGTGTCTTTGATGGCCCGTTTCCGCGGCTCAGAGGCCGAGGTGCCGGTGAGACCAGGAATTTCCTTATGTGACGGGCGATGCTAAGCCGAGGAGGGATTGATTCAGGAAACGTGTATGGTGAGGAGACAAAAAAGGCAGGGATGGTTTTTGTTCGCATATCGAAGATTGTGTGAAGGCGGCAACTACTTTGATCTGGTTTCTTGCCAGCATTCCCTTAATCGTAAACTTGGCATGTCCAGATCTTCGATCCAGGATTCCTGACGTTATGGCTGATTGTGCACTTTTCAGACCGTGGGCCTGGGGGGTGTTCTAGGAGTCGGAATTCCAAACTCTGTTGGCTGTCATGGTCTGTGTCGTTGGGTGTCCACACAGGCTTGCAGTCCGGAGTTTTGGAGGCTTGCGTGATAGTGATGCTGGGCGGTTTTCCGACTCTGAAGCCCGTACTTCATCAGACTCAAGACCTCATGTCCGGGCACCTGGCTCAAAACAAAAGCCAAAAAGGGGCTGGTGGTCGCAAACATTGAGCTGTGTGGCCAAAAGTTGGTATGCTTTGGACCTTAAACTCAAACTCCTCAAGATCTGGCAGACACTACTTGTATGTAAGCCTTCGTTCCCAAGCACACAGCCTCAAACCATCACGCCGAATAGTTCAATAGCCTTCCAGGCGGCGGGCTATGGTGTCGACAAGCTGCAAGGGAGGCCGGGACAGCCACAGCAGGGTAGGGTATGAGGGCACAAACGGAGCTTCACGGATTTTGGCAAGCGTGAGTGACTCTCTGTGTGTCCGTGTGTGTGTGTGTGTGTGTGTGTGTGTGTGTGTGTGTGTGTGTGTGTTTGTGTCTTTTACGGGTCAGGGTTGGGGGAGCCTGGACCTGCATACCCCTACATTTGTTCGTTCTGTCTTGCGGGAAGGATGTTGCGTGCCATGCAATTGCTTAAGTAGTAGGATTTGAGCAAGGCCCCCCTCTTGACCAGGACGGAACCTTTACAGAATCTCAGGGATGGTGCTTTTTGCGTCTCGGTGCACCAATTCAGACGATCCTCTCGTGTCTGCTCAACCCCGGGACCTGGAGCCCAAGACCGACTAAGAGCCAGATACCACAAGCCAAAAGCCGCAAGGTGTAAAGCCGCAGCCAAAGGCCAAAAGGCCAAAAAAGCTTCATTAGACTTCATGGTCACATGATCGTAGAGGTATAAAATTGTCTAGAACAGCACACGGTATCAACTGCTTAAAGCGGAAGACTTTTGAATGCATGGACGCTAGATGTGTTTAGTGTTCAGCCTCCCGGGGCCCAGCACATCAGGCCGCCCAGCGTGGGCGAATTCAGCTCCCCGAGTCAGTTCCAGGCCGGATGCATTCATAATGTGGTGTGTTTAAGTGTGTTTGCGTCATGCAGCAGTTCGGGTTTCGATTTGAGACGCAGTTTACAAAAAGCACCTGGTAGAAGTCCTTACGTTTGCACCGCAGCAGATCTGCATCGATGCGAGAAGAATGACAGGACTAGCCGACGGTACATTGAAGGAGAGAGGTGTCAAGGCTTGCAAACACGGGGTCTTTTTGAGCCTATTGGAGTCGACTGGGAAAGCTGTGCTGTAGGACAGTTCTGTTTTGCCGATTTGGCAGGACGCCGTTGTGAAGCCCTTAACCCAAGATATAGTCTTCATCACAATAGGAAGTGATGGTGCCGAACATGCAGAGAAGGGAAAGCGGCATCTTGTTTGAAAAGCTTCCCTGTCGGAGATCTTGAAAGAGCTCCACAGCAGCGCAGCTGGCTCTGTACACCTTGCAAAGGTCAAGGCTCGAAGGGCTTGGAAGGTGAGGTCTAGAGTCTCGGCTGTGTTCGGGTTCAGGAGTTGAGTGATGGTGCCTTGCCGGTATGAGAAATGCCGGTGTCAGGGCGGAAGGTTCCATGCCGCGTTCGCAAACTTCGCAAGCCCCTTATTGCCGAGCGACATGAGGAGACGATCCCCGAAACTCAGGGCACCCGTGGTAGGTTTGCTGCCTGCTTTTATTTTGAAAGCTAAGCCTTTGAGCTTAGGCCCAGGCTCTCTTCAGAGAATGAAAGCGGCACAGCAAGCCGTATACCCGGAATCGTATCCACGGGGATCAAGCTCGACTCCACTCCTTACACCGGCCTTAGTGAATCTACCAAGGGCAGGGCGCGTACTGTGGCATGCTTTACCCAAGTGGGGAACTCATCAAAACCCTGCTATGACTTCGGTTCCCATATTGCCTTCTACCCCTTTCAAGCAAAAAAATCCTTGAAGCCTAGGCCCTAAGCCCTAACCCGAAACCGGGAAACCCGCACCAGGATCCTCAGAGCCAGCTGAAAGATACCGTTGTGCTGAAGAAGCGTCCCTTTCTCAGCAGCGAGACCGTGAGCCTTTCGGGGAGTAGGGGGTTGCGTTCGCGCTCTACTGTTTGCGGTTTCAGGATTGTAGGTTGGGGCTGTGACGGGTCCGGGACGGGAGACACAAAAGGCCCGACTTGAGATGCCAGATGCAACGAAGCTTTCACTTGGAGCTAAGCTTTCTTGAGGCAAAGTGCCGGAGCTGGGCAAGGCGAAAGACATGTTCAACGAGTACGAGGCAGGCTCTCTGAGATGAGGTCTGAGCCTGTAGGCCGGCTTCGGGGTTTCCAGTTCTCTTGGCGTCGGCCTTGAAGGGTTCAACCCGAGAAGTTCGGAAATCTGCAGGTAAAGTTTCCGCTTGCTGTGAGCCCATGCTTTGAGCTTCCGGTCGTACAGGTTCGCGGACTCAGAACAGAAGAAGAAATGATGATTACTTCTTTAGGGCCGTTCCAGTCCTCATGGTTCAGAGTAGCATGGCCGCTGCAGGTCATGAAGCGACTGAGCCATCCGAACATCATCCGCTGCTACGGCTACTTCTGGGAGTTCCCGACGCAAAGTCTCTACATCGTTCTGGAGCGGCCTGGCCATGAGTAGGAAAGCTGTGTTGGTACTGGGGCCTGGGTAGGACGAAAGTTTGAACGCATGCGTGGGCCCGTTGAAGCAAAGACCCCCGCTCCCAACCAGCATCTCGGCAAGCAAGGCCTCCCTGGTACTCCCTGAGAACTTCAAAGTAGGACCATCTTTTCAACCAGGGAAAATACGCAGCGCAAGCATATCGTAGCTGGCACCAGGCGCCTGAATCCGAAGTCCAAGTGCTCCAATCCGAAGGCACCATGTGTCCCAAACGCTGCAATCTTGATAAATTGATAAGGTATGCCAACAGGGGCGATCTGCATGGCGAGCTGCAGACGCGCAGCTCGACACTACTTGCATGACCAGCTTCTTCTCCTTTCTGGCAAATGGTTGTTAGCACGGAACACAAACCCACCTTGAGCTGTCAGGACATGTCACGCGAGCCTGCAAAGCCTTTCGAGTTCCCACAGCATTGCACATCCCGCCCTTGATCCAACCCGTCTATATGTGATTTTGCTTCGGTGTGTAGGGTGTATTGGCATGAGGCACTGTCGGGGCTCTCGAGCACGAAGCCTGAGACACAAAGCGGAGGATGGAAACCCCAAACCCTGAATCTTGAACTTAAAGCTCTACCCCTTGACGAAACCTGGAAACCCCACCACCTTACACGCACAACAAACCTTCAAGCACTTAAAACAGGCGCCTACATGTTTTTGACAAATCAGAGGCCAACAGAATTATCCCAGGAAAGCGGCTTGGGAAGCATTTCTCGGACAACGAGGTCTGGGACGTGCTGTCACAGGCTGGGCAGAGGATGCTCATTACGGCTTCTGTTAAAAGCGCTAGGGCCGCTGGGATTCTTGTTTGCAGTTTTTTTGGGGCGTTTACGGGTTAAGGGCGTCGGGGATTTGAGTTGTGTTGGTTGGATGCTGATGGGTTTTGTGCGGATTCAGGAGTTTGGGTCCTTGTGGGCACCGACGAGGATTGATTGAGCAAGCCTTTCTTGTCTTGCTGGTGGTACTTGAATCGGGGTCTTCTGCTTGAAATGTGAAGGCAAGAGATTACTGTTCATGGTCGATGGTACGTCCAGTGACATCGTGGATGCTTCTTTGAAGCACGTATGTCGCGTCTATATGGTCGCCAGTCGGAATTGCAGCAAAACTCAAGCTAGGTCTTGCGAGGGCTGCGCCACATTCACGCCCGGGGCATCGTGCACCGCGACATCAAGCTCCTCGGACTCGGAGCCAGAGCAAAAGTTTCCAGCATCCACTGCAACCTTCCGGACATGGAGAGCTGTTGCCGCGAGTCCCTTAGGGATTTCTTTGGGCCTCCCCTCCCCCTCCCCTCCTTTGCCCAACATGTAAGATCCAGAGCCAAGAAAATTACTTGGTAGATCAATCGCACACTTTGACACTGCTGCTGCGAACTCATGGTGAGGACCATGAACCTGTTGCTGAACGACGAGGGCGTCATCAAACTTGGTGACTTCGGGGTGTCACGGCAGATGTCCGAGTCGCCCGGCCTCTTCAGCAGCCAGAAACGCCACGTAGACTTGCGCCGCATCCCTCCTTCCGGCAACGGAAATAGCAAGATTACATATGAGTCCTATCAACAAATATCAACTTTTGTGAAATTGACTCCATCTCTTGTTTTGACTCCGGCTTTTCCTCAAGTTAGAATGACTTGTAATCGGAATACATACCATATCGTCTTTCGTTCCATAATGCCTAGCACCCTACACCCCTACACCAGCAGAGGCATTACTCATCAGTTGGGGCTTAGGGAATAGGGCCAGCGCAGTCTTGCAGGAGGTAGGGGCTAGGCGTAGTAGGTAGGCTGAGCGAGAGTAGGATGGAGGAGCTAGAAGCAGTAGCAGAAGTAGAAGTAGACGTAGAAGTAGCAGTAGCAGTAGGAGTAGAAGTAGAGGTAGAGGTAGTAGTAGTAGTAGTAGTAGTAGTAGTAGTAGTAGTAGTAGTAGTAGTAGTAGTAGTAGTAGTAGTAGTAGAAGTAGAAGTAGAAGTAGACGTAGAAGTAGCAGTAGGAGTAGGAGTACGAGCAGGAGCAGGAGCAGGAGTAGGAGAGTCGTGGTGGTGGTGGTTGTGGTGGTAGTGGTCGTGGTCGTGGCAGTGGCAGTGGGAGTGGTAGTGGTAGTGGTAGTGGTAGGTTCAGGCTGGGGTTTTAGGGTTTGGCAAGGGGCATGTGCCCATGTGTGTGAAGAGTGAAGCAAGTCTGAAACAAGTCGGTTTGTCAGATGTAGAGACCGCGTTCTTTGTTGAGCTCATGTGTGCCGCGTTTGAGGAACACCGTGTGTCTCCACTCATTCTACGGCACGCCCCTCTACCTTTCGCCAGAGCTCATAGAAGGCAGGGGGCAAATCGCTTTTTGCGCGCTTGCCTGCTGGGTCGCATCGTGCCGTTTGGCCCGCAACCCCAAGGGCCCTGGCGTCAGATACGCACCAACAATTGAAATGCAATTTCTAGGCAGCAAGTCTGCAGCAGTGAGCAGCCCAAAGCCATGCAGCCAGGGCGTGCGTACTCCCGGACGACGGACATCTGGTCGCTGGGGGTCGTTCTCTACGAATTGCTCTCGCTGCGCCTTGGAATCTGCAAAGTCCCTGTCCTTCTCTGTGGCTTCGGGTTTGGGACATGAATCCCCTGACTGTACTGGACCGGAGTTGCGGAGCCTGTCGCACTAGGAGAAAAGCAGCCCATACCCAGGCCCCAAAGATAAAGAGAGTTCTGGTGAGAGCGAGAAGGCCCCGAAAACCGGCAATTGAAGCTCACACCGCGCGCCAAGAGCCAAGCGACAGGCAGCTGCCATTCCGTGGGCCCAGCCTCCAGGACTTCCGGGGGTTCCGGGGGGCCGAGGAGCTAAACATCTTGATCGCATAGGCGATGATGGTGACTCGGACTGCGAAGGTGATGTTGAAGAGAAAGTGCGCGCATCAATCATGCAATGCAAAGACATGCTGAGGCGAGGCTTTTTGCTGCTGGTAAACACTGCTTCTGCCACACCGCATGCTTCCACCTTGGACCCCAAGCCCACCATTCCAACCGACGCGTCTATGACCCTTACAGACATGCCAGCATCCCCCGGCACGCATTTGGCGGTTTCAGCGGTTTCCCGATATTTGTTTCGGTGTCGAGTTGGCCAAATTGCCCGGCGTTTGTTTTGGTCCCTGGTATGCGCTCGAGCTTCCTGACACTTGTTTAGACCACCGATACATGTACATCTGTGTTGGCTTTTTGTGCATGGCCGAACTTGCCTTGGCCCTTGTATGGCCGGGGTTCCTCACAGGACGTGATCGCGGCGGTGCTCCGCTGTCGCTTCGCTCCTTTGCCCAGCTGGCGACCACAGGCGCGTCGGCTCAGAGCGTCCGTAATTCAAGAGGTGCAAGGGTTAGATTTACAGAGGGACCAAGAGATAGAGCGACATGTGGTGCCAAAAACGTGTAGGCGCTCTGATGCGTTGTCGGCAGATCCTCCGCCATGTGTACGCAGGAGTTTTCCGACGTTGTGAACTCCATGCTGACCAAGGCCGGTCCGGGGCTTCTTTCCGGAGTCCCGACTGTTGTCTCCGATGTTACTGTTCCGCTATGACTGACGTTGAACGAGTTCAGCGCACTAATCAAGTGTAGGAAGAATCTGTAGCAAGCACCGGCCGTGGCTCGTTCGTGAGATGGGCAGCACCTTGAGTCCGGCGTTGGGGTGCGCACTTCTTTGACGTGTTGGCGTACTTTTCCCCAAGCCCAAATTCCACAAGCTTGGCCGACTCACGTTTTGCACTTGCATGTTTTGGAGGATGCACAACGGCGTCCCTCTGCCGAGTCCCTGCTGCAGCGGATGGAGTGGCTCGGTCGCAAGGAGCAAAAAGCTATTCCATGCTCGGTATGTGTTGTATATGATAACAGAATACACCGTGTTGATACAACTCTCTCTCTCTCTTTCTCTCTGTCTCTCTCTCTCTCTCGATCTATGTCTTTATGTAACTTATATACACATACGTATTCGTACATGCACACATAGGGTTCAGGGGTCTCCGGCTTAGTTGTTGAAAAATTCAGGGTTTAGCTGACATATTGACATATTCCAGGTCCTCACGTGATAGTCACATCAGCAATGCGACAGTCTAATGCCAGTCTGCATTTAAGTCTGAGGGATCCAAGAGTGAGTTGAGGTCCTTGGGCAAACTTTTTCGGCCTCCGAAAGCCGTGCAAGAGGATCCTAGGCCCTGCGGAGAGCTGGGGCTTCAGGGACCGTGGGGGCTTCGCTGAAGGGAACTTCACCGCCCTGCTGCAGTAGACCAAGCACCAGGGAGTTTCTGAAGGAGAGTTTTCTTGTTGCTCTTTGCGAGGCCTGTCGAGCCAAAGCCGCCAGACAAGGCCAGGCAGCAAAGTGAAGCTTCAAGACGAGTTCGTCTCGCTCTTGTAGATACAAAACACCATGATGATCTTGGTGGTGCGAATTGCTGTGGTTCACATCCACAGGAGAATCGCTCGCCCGCGGCGCTGGCCCGAAATGAGGGACACCAGGCGCGTCCGCTTCGCTCCGTAGCAGCGTAGCTCGGAGTGTTTCAGGCTCGAGGCCGATGCAGACTCGCGACTTGTGGAACCACGTTTCATATCTCTTTATTCGTCTTTTGTCATTGGACGGACGGACCTTCGCAGCAGACAGTCCCCGTCTCGTGGCATCGCAGGTCGTGCGCGTGCGCTCCCGGCCTAGCAGTGCAGGGCCTCAGGCGGTGGCCAGGGCCAGGGATTGCATCATATTGCATCCGTATCCAAGCCCGAAGCAGGCGATAGGGTACTCGGTAGTCTTGTCCATTTTTTTTGCGCTTGCTTGCTGGTTCCGAGTTGTTTCAGGTTTTCGTGTTCTTGCGATCTTGAATACGAGAAGCCTGGCTCGATGCAGTCTGTAGGTGAAGCTCATCGAGCCCGATGCGGCGCCACCAGGCCATGTGCATGCTGTCCGTGCCCGCTCAGGGCTTTCATCCCAGTGACTTAGGCGAGTGATGCCGGGATAGAATGTCGGGGAGTGATGGTGCTGGACCAGTCAGATTTTCTTGCACGCCACTCTCCAAGAAAAGTCTTCGCGTCTGTCGATCTTGTCTGATAGCCCAGCAGGCGCCACTGGCCCACTCCATGTGGTCAAGAACCTGCGCGAGGAGCGGCAGTAGCCATGACCTGCCCCAGGGCCCTTCTCCTGTAGAAATATGCAGATGCTGTAGTTTATGTGCTCGGTGGCTTCTGCGACAGAGCCGGCCGATTCAAGGCCGCCTGCAAAGGGGGACTTGGATGGGCAGTGTGGGACCAACTGCTGCAAAGCGGTAGTCTTGCGCGTCGGTTAGGTCGCGGTCGCTGTCGTTCGCGAGTCTTCACGCATATGGCGCTAGTGACTCCTTGCTTCAGTCTAGGCTTCGTTCGGCTTCAAAGTTGTCCTGTCGTGTACGCCCACCCAGTGTACATCATGTAAACAGAGCCGTATGTGTACCTTCGACAGGGGGCCGGATGGGATCAGGACCGATGATCGGTGGCGAGCTTGCGTTCTTGCGGCGCCAGCATGCTCATACTGTCATATACGTGCCAAACTCTGTAATACACAAGACCCCCTTAACATAGACCCAATCAGTTGACTGCATCTCCGATGCTGTCTTGAGGAGGCCGTCGTACTGGAGTGTAAGTTGGTCTTTTTAATACCAGGACGCTCCATGTGCCATGGAGGCTCCATGGTCCTTAGTAGTGGCTGTGGAGGGTGCAACAGAGCGGAGTCGGAAGGTCTAGAGAGCAAGCTTAAGACTCCTGCCGCGTGCATGGACTTCTTACTCGGGGTATCGGGCTTCGTGTTTTCAGCTGACTGGTGTGCTTTGGAGCAGGCGCTGCTTGTACCGGCCAGGCTGTGTCCTGAACGATCCTGGCAACGGTGCATGGCATTTTTGATTTTGCACCTGGGTCTCTCAATCTTGCGGGGGGCCTGCCAAATTTCAAAACGTCTTGCAAGCACTTGTACCGGCGAGACTGCGTCCGGAGCGGTGCTGGTAACCATGCGTGGTATTTTGACTGTGGGGCTGTGGTGCTTACTGTTGGGGAGCGCAGAACGGGTTTGCAAGCAGTTGTAGCGCAAGACTGTGTCAAGAACGGTGCTGGCAACTCTGAGTTGTCTCCTCTAGTGGGCAATGCAAAAAGTCTCGTAATCACGTGCGCTGGCAAGACTGTGTCCTGAATGGTGCTGGCAAGCACGCGTGGCATTCTGATTTGGGGGTTTGCAGAGCTTGTATTTGGATTTCAGGGTGTGTGCCCCTGAGTGGTGCGAAATGTTGAACATTTTACAAACACTTGCGGCACAAGGCTGCGTCCTCAACGGTGCAGGCAGCCTTTCTTAGTATTCGTTTGATTGCAGTGTTTGTGTGCTCACTGGCGGGCAGTACACGTGTACCACAAGAGACTGTTGAACGGTGCTGAACCGTGATGTGTTAGTGGTGCCCACAAAGTGGGCAGATCCAAAAAGTCTTGCAAACACTTGTGCCACGAGACTGTGTGCAGCAACCGCGTGTGGCATTCTGCATTTGGGGTGTGTGACTCACTGGTGGGCAGTGCAAAACGTCTCGCCAACCCCGGTGGGTAGAGGGGTCACTTGTGACTTCTGTTTTGTCTCACTTGTGACTTCTATTTTGTCTCGCTTGTGACATCTCACTTTCTGAGCTTGAAAATCCTGCATTTCCATGGGCTTTGGACTCCCTCCTTCCCGCCCTCCACATCCTGATGCCAAACAAGCCGAAACAGGCGGGCGAGCCGCTTTGGTCAGATGGATGCTGAACCAGAATCGCCAGATGAGGTGGCGTGTTTAAGATAGATGGTCACCAAATGCCACATGAGGGGGCGTGCTTAAGATTGTGGGGAACCGGAAATGCCAAATGAGGGGAGGCGTTTCAGATATATGATGAACCGGAGTCGCCACATGCGGGAACAGATATATGGGGAACCGGTATCGTCAAATGAGGGGGCATGTTTAAGATATATGTTGAACCGGAATCGCCAAATAATATACGATAGGCCGGAATCGCCAAATGAGGGGGCGTGTCTAGAATAGATGATGAAGTAGCATCGCCAAATGAGGGTACGTGTTTAAAGTTGATGTTGAACCGGAGTCGCCACCGGAATCGCCAAACGAGGGGGCGTGTTCAAGCTGGATGTTGCACCGGACTCGAGGGGGTGTGCTTAAGATATACGATAGGCCGCAATCGCCAAATGAGCGGGCGTTTTTAAGATACATGATGAAGTAGCATCGCCGAATGGGGGCGCGAGTTCAAGAGTATGGGGATCCGGTATCGCCAAACGAGGGGGCGTGTTTAAGATAGATGTTGAACCGGCATCGTCAAATGAGGGGGCGCGCTGAAGAATATGGGGAAGTGGAATCGCCAATCGAGGGGTCGTGTTTAAGACAGATGAGCGTGTTTACGATATATTTTAGAACCGAAATCGCCAAATGAGGGGGCCTATTTATGATGTATGTTGAACCGGAATCGCCGGTCGCCAATGAGGGCCTTGTTTTATATCTTGAACCGAAATCGCCAAATGAGGGGTCGTGTTTAAGATGTATGAGGAACCGGCATCGTCAAATGAGGGGGCGCGTGGGCGTTTAAAATATAGATTAACCACAACCGCCAAGTGAGGGGGCGTGTTTAAGATATGTGGTAATAAACCGGACTCTGTGTTTGGAAAAGATGATGAAGCAGCATCGCCAAAGGAGGGGGGCATGTTTAAGATATGTTTTGGACCGGAGTCGCCAAATGAGGGGTTTGTTTAAGATATATGAAGAACTGGCATCGCAAGTGATGTTCGCCGACAAGGGTTGCAACATTTTCTGTCAGAAAGATCACAAGGCGGAGAAGTCACAAGTGATTCGAAGCACTTTTGCCAAGACGTGCTGCAAATTAGTGTGTCACAGAAGTCACAAGTAAGCCAAAATAAAAGTCACAAGTGAGCCGCCTCTCGGGCAAGGCTTGAGAAGTCAGACGTGAGACAAAATAGAAGTCACAAGTGAGCAGCCAACCACAGGCGCCACGAGACTGTGTCCTGCAGTGGGCTGGCAACTGTGGCATGTTGATTTTGGGGTTTATTGCGCTCGTTGGTGGGAAGTGCGACAAAGTCCGCAAGCAATTGTGCTACAAAGCTGTGTGCTGAACGATTCTGGCAACCGTGTGCAGTGTTTGACTTTGGTGTTTGTGGTGCTGACTGGTCAGCAATGAAGAGCGCATTGCAAACATATATGCACCACAAGACTGGTGTCCAGAACCGTGCAAGCAATCATGCGTTGCATTTTGATTCTTTTCGTTCGTGGTGCACGGAGGCAAACACTTGCACCACAACACTGTGCCCTAAGCGATGCAAGCAACTGTGCGTGGCATTTTGATTTTTGGGGTTTGTGGTGCGCGCTTGTGGTCAGCACAACACTTGCACGACAAGATTGTGTTATGATCGAAGGGTGCAAGCAACCATAGGTGGCATGTTGATTTTTGGGATCGCTGGTGGGCGGCGCAAGCACCTGCACGACAATGCGTTATCCAGAACGGTGCAAGCAACCATGCGTGACATTCTGATTGTTTGGTTTGTGATGCTCGCTGGTGGGCTCACGCTCGGCATTCGATTTTGGGGTTTGTGGTGCTCGCTGGTGGATGGCAGTGCAAACACTTGCGCCACAAGACTGTGTGCAGAACGGTGCCACTGACCATGCGTGGCCATTTTTGGGGTTTGTGGTGCTCGCTGGTGGGCAGCGCAAACACTTGCACCACAAGATTGTGTTACTAGTAAGTGCCAGCAACCATGCGTCTGCGTGGCATTTTGATTTTCGGGTTTGTGGTGCTCGCTGGTGGGCTGCACAAACACGTGCACCATAGGACTGTTTCCCGAACCGTGTAGGCAACCATGCGTGGCATCTTGTTTTCGGGTTTGTGGTGCTCGCTGGTGTGCAGCGTAAACATTTGCTGCAAGCAACCATGAGTGTAATTTTGATTTTTGGGGTTTGATTTGTTCGCTGGTGGGCAACGCAGGCACTTGCACAACAGGAAATTGAAAGCAACCATGTGCGTCATTTTGCTTCTTCGGTGTGTGGTGCTCGCTTGTGGACAGCACAAATGCTTGCAGTACAAGATTGTGTTCTGAACGGTGCAAGCAACCAGGCGTGGCATTTGATTTTTTTGTGTTGGTGGTGCTCGATGGTGGGCAGCGCAACACTTGCACCAAAAGGTTGTGTTATGACCGAAGGGTGCAAGCAACGATGCCTGCCATTTTGATTTTGGGGTTTGTGGTGCTTGCAGGCGGGCCCACAACCAATCACTTGCACCACGAGATTGTGATATGACTGTTATGATCAAAGGGTGCAAGCAACCATACGTGGCATTTTGATTTTGGGGCTCCGTGGTGGCACAAACACCTGCACCACAAGGCTGTGTCCTCAATCAGCCACGCCTGGCATTTTGAAAATTGGGTTTGTGGTGCCATGCAGACACTTTACACCGCAGGACTGTGTCTTGAACGGTGAAAGCACCATGCTTGGCATTTTGAGGTTTGGGTTTTTTTCAAACGTGGCATTTTGATCTTTTCGTTTGTGGTGCTCTTTGGTGGGCAAACACTTGCACCTCAAGGTTGCGTCCTGAAGTGTCCAAGCAACCATGTGTGGCATTTTGATTTTTGGGGTTTGTGGCGCGCCTGGTGGGCAGCACAAACGCTTGCACCACAAGAGTGTGTTATGGTCGACGGGTGCCAGCAACCATACGTGGCATTTTGATTTTTGGATTTGTGCTGATCGCTGGTGAGCAGCGACGCGACAACACTGGCATCACGAGGCTGTGTCCTGAACGGTGCAAGCAACCATGCGTGGCATTTTGATTTTTGGGGTTTGTGGTGCGCGCTTGTGGTCAGCACAACACTTGCACGACAAGATTGTGTTATAATCGAAGGGTGCAAGCAACCATGGTGGCATTTGATTTGCGGGTTTGTGGTGCGCGCTCGCTGATCGCCAAAAACTTGCACCACAAGATTGTGATATGATTGGTATGAGCGAAGGGTGCAAGCAGCCATGCGTGGCATTTTGATTTTGGGGTTTGTGGTGCTTGCTGGATGGCACCGCAAATGCTTGCACCACAAGGCTGTGTCCTCAAAGCAACCACGCATGGCATTTTGAATATTGGGTTTGTGGGGCTAGTGGGCAATGCGAACATTGTACACCGCAGGATTGTGTCTTGCGCAAGCAACCATGCGTGGCATTCAGTTTTCGGGTTTGGGGTGCTCGCTGGTGCGCAGCGCAAGCATTTGCGCGTTGCAAGCAACCATGCGTGGTATTTGTTTGTTCTGTTTTTTGCTTCTACACTTGCGCCACAAGATTTTGTCCAGAACGGTGCAAGCAACAAGGCGTGGCGTTTTGAGTTTGGCCTGGTGGAGCGAGCTTGTCGATGGGCACACAAACACTTGCACGACAGGACTGTTTCCTTAACCCGAAGCAACCATGCGTGGCATTTTGATTTTTGGGTTTGTGGTGCTCTCTGGTGGGCATGCCTGCTGGTGGGCAACGCAAACACTTGCTGCACTGAGCAATGTCCTGACAGGTGCAAGGGTGCAAGCAACCCCACGTGGCATTTTGATGTTTGAGTATGTGGTTTCCGTGGGTCTGGTGGGCGGCGCAAGCACGTGCTGCACAGAGCCCTTTCATGAACGGTGCAAGCAACCATGCGTGGCATTTTGTTTTTTTGTGGGTTTGTGGTGCTCGCTGGCGGGCAGCGCAGCCAGTTTCTGGACAAGACTGTGTTCTGAGCACTGCAAGCAACCCTGTGTGCCTATTGAACTTTGGGTTTGTGGTGCTCGGTTGGCGGCGCAAACTCTTGCACTACAAAATTGCGTCCTGAACGGTGGGTGCAAGCATCCATGGGTGTTGTTTTTTTGGTTTTTGTGGCGCTCGTTGGTGGGCAGTGCAAGCTCTTGCACCACAAATCTGTGTCATGAACGGTGCAAGCAAGCAAGCGTGGCATTTAGATTCTTTGGCTTGTGGTGCTCACTGGCGCGCAATGCAAAAATTGTTTTGTAAACATTTATCGCTTGCCCCGGTCTTGCAACACCCCTTTGGGTTTAGCAGTAGCTGGTGTGTGGATGTGCAAATCAGATTATTTGATGCAAGCAGATTGTGGCCGGTTGCAGTGAAACGGCGGTTCCATCAACGAGAGGATTGTGAGTTTGGATAAGCATGTCGTATGCAGCCGCTGGCGTTTTTTTAGCACCGCGTCAGTTACCGATACAGGGTATGTCCGATTTACGAGACATTTGGCAGCGAGTGCACTTGTTTCCTGTCCCAGCGACTGCTCATTTGTTCCCTGGTTTGCTTCGTTGTGTGGTCGCTCCACTGCTGGCACAAAAGTGGTCCACGATGTCCCTTTGTGACGGAAGGTGGTTATGACGCTGAACCCCTCTGAGAAGTCGACACGGACGCAGAACACCCACTCACTCATAACCGATGCAGTGGATAATGATAGGCTCGGATCCAGCTTTGGGGGGCGCAAAAACTAAACAGCAAACCCCAAATGAACCCTAATTACTACAGTTTATCCTTCGGCAGGTAGCACCAGGCAGCTCCGTTGTCCGTTGTTGCAGGAGCGCTGGGAGCAGCGGCGCTTGGCACACGCCCCGGCGCCGCAGCATGGGCGGCAAACAACGCTGGGGTGTTTTGTTTAATATGCATTGACAGCGTTCGTTTGAATTATCATGCCAAGGCAAGACACTGACTCAAACATGAGGTACGCCGTGGAAAAGCTGCAGGGGCGCCCCTCCAGCATCGGCGAGTTCAATCACCGCGAGCAACATGGCATCAAGTGTAGTTCTGTTTGTTGAGCAGCAAAGCCCGGAACCACGTCCACGGTTGGATTAGCTTAGCAGCTAGAGTCACTCGCACTTTCACTCGACAATCCTGCTGGGCTTTCGAGCGATACGCTACTGGGCTTTGCCGTTTCGACGTCATGGTTTAGGCCTCACTACTAGCTCGCGAGATGGTTGGGTTCCTGGTCAGCCCCATGCGATCCAAGGCAGTTCGAAATCCTCAAGGAACCGCTGCGTGCAGCCTGAGTCGGTGGTATCCATGATTTGTTGCAACTGGCGCGTTATGCAGATTGGTGGTCCGTTGCCTGAATCCCAGCGGGGAGCGATGCAAGCAAACTCAAAGGTTGCGGGTATGATCACAATCACATATCTATGAAAATATCGACACGCAGACACATCAGCCTTTCTGCTATCAGGACCTTCAGTCCAACGATTCTGGATCGGTGCATGTTGCCCGCGTCAAGAAGGGCGAGGCTGGTGGGGATCCGCTGTGGCTATGACCCTCCTGAGAAAGTGAACTCTTGCGATGCTGATGTCCCTCTGTCGCATGGTCCTTACTTTTCCATCTTGCCCCCTTCATTTGAAATGCCTCTGGCCTAAGCTCACTAGAGAAAACCGAACCCTCGGAACAAAAGCCGCACAGCCGCTCAGCCTCGAGAGACCTACCGCACCCTACCGCCTTCCTCCAGTCTTCAGGAGCTCGTCGTGCTGAAGCGGCGAAGAGCCCCTGAGTTGGGGAAGGCCAAGGCGCGTCTGACACCCCTCATTCGTTAATGAATGAGTAAGACGGCACTGTAGCATAAGCAACGAGTAGACACTACTTTGTAGACTTGAGACATGCGCGTAGATGCAAGTGTGTGGGCCGTGTGCTGTCGGTCATAATGCCGGACTTGACAAAATCCGCTGGCGATAATGATGATAATGTTCCTCTTCTCAGAGGTTGTGCAGAATATAAGACGGGCATCAGGATCTCGCAGAGAGAACTGTTATGGGACCATGCTGCATGCGACACATTGTGTCTCCAACAAAATGTGTTGCCGCTGCACGTGTTATAAACTTGCTTACTTATATACACGTGCGTATCGATCGTACAGCGTTTACTGCTTGTAAACGTTGCAGAGTCCTGCTTGGTTTGCGTTGCCGGTTCTGTGACCTTTGTTCCTTCAACGCAAGTCGGCCCAGCCGACGGGGCATCTCAAGCTCGACTTACCTCCCCGGATGTGCCATCCAGTGTTCTGGAAGCACAGGACGTCCTCAACGAGTACGAGGCAGGTGAACGAGACCTTTTGGCTCCTTCCAATAGTTGCCACGATTGTGAACGGCCTTCGGCGTGGTTGCGTATCTTGGGCGGAGTCATTCTCAGACTGTCGCCATCGGCCGCAGGTATTCAGGGCTTCGAAAGGTTGTTGAGTCTTGAGTGGTTTGGGGTTGAATGAGTCTGCAGAAGGGACGAGCTTGAGCTCTGAATCCCCCACCACGAGTTCGTCGCACTGGCTGCAGATCATGAAGAAGCTGAACCACTCGAACATCATTCGCTGCTACGGCTACTTCTGGGACTTTCCCTCACAATCGCTCTACATCGTATTGGAGACGCTTGGCTGTGTGTGTGTGTGTGACCTCGCAAGCAAAGCATCAGCCCTCCACGCATTGAGTCTGAGAATTCAAAAACCACATTGTTTTTTTGGCAGGCCTGTATGCCTTTTGTAAACGGTTTCAAATTGGCCCAGGTATGCGAACCGTGGGGATCTTCATTGGGAGCTGCAGAAGCGGAAGCGATTGGGGACGCTTATCTTTTATTGGCATGTTGGCTGCTTATGTTCCCGAAGAAACCAAGGGCGTACTGAGATGGTTTTGACATGGTAACCAGCTTCGGTAATGACCGAACGCGAGCCTGCAGACTTAGAGGCTTGGAGTTGAGAATTACAGTCTAGGTATCGTTAGTCTGAGCTGTTGCAACTTCATTAATTACGGATCAAAAGCGGCTGAGAGTATCTGTGTGCTGGCGAAGAGTGCCGGCGATTGGTTGATCATTCGAGCGCGTGCAGGGTGAACCTTCACACATGCACACCAACTGCCGTGCTCAGGGAGGTGTAACAGCGGGATTCTTTTTCAGGGGGTGGGTGATTGGAGGAAAAAGGCTAAGAGAGAGACAGGGAGAGAGTGAGAGAGAGAGAGACGAAGAGACCAAACAAGAAATGGAACAGCGAGTGAAAGAGAGGTGCGATGCTCCGAGATTCACCGTGAGTCTCGGTGAACATCTGCATCCGCAACAGACTGGGATCTGCCTCTTTCTCATGCCGGTTGAATCGTGCTCTTTGTTAATGTAGCCTCGCACACATTCCGCACACATGTTCGTCACCATTCCGGCCTGAACATTCCTAGATTCCTTGGCTCCTCAGCCAACTTCTGCCAACAGTGACGTTTGCGGTCACGGATCCTGGCCGCATGTTGCAAGTCCCGGAGCTCTCACTTGATAGAGTCTCATTTCGTGACATCTGAAGGAAGCCTTTTGGGGACGAGGAGGTCTGGGACATTTTGGCGCAGGCCCGTGTACATATCACACGAGTCGGAGAAAGCGTCTGCGTGGAGGGAACCCTGGCTTGCGGTCACACATGTTGTTTGTCTCCGGGATTCACCGCTTCCGTCTTACCAAGCATTTTTCTCGCCATTGTCTTCAGACCGAGCTGCATCTCAGAGCAATGGTTGCATCGGTTCCCTGACTACTGACACTTTTGTTGTGCCTACGACAAGTACCTGTCTTCGTCATGAATAGTACATCTTCAACATCATTTTCATCAGCAGCACCATCATGCTGGGGCCCCCCTTTTGACCTGCCTTTGCTACTCCTGCTGGAAGCAAGTTCTGCGAAGGTGCTAATGGGCTTGTGCCACATCCACGCTCGAGGCATCGTGCATCGAGACATCAAGGCACCCCAGTGGCTGAAGAGCGAGTCCACATGGAGAGTCACCTTAACTGCAGCCCTGAGGCCATGAACCTCTTCCTGACGAGCGATGGTGTGATTAAGCTGGGCGACTTCGGCGTTTCACGGCAGATGTCCGAGAGCCCCGGCACTTGTAGTACAAGTTTGCATGATTCACGGGCACCTCCAGTAGTAGTTTTGGGTCAAGCTGAAACACTCCCCAACTAAGTTTCCGTACAAGCATGTCACACCCGCTACTCCAGCTTACACACAAGTTCTAGACCAAATATCCTAAATCCAATCCCCACGCCCCCTCCCCGCCCTCCCCCCCTACCCCGAGCTCTCAATCGCTTCAGAGTTTGAGATCAGGAAAACGCTGTGTTTGCAGTCCTTCTACGGGACGCCCCTCTATTTCTCTCCCGAGATGATCGAAGGCTAGGTCGCGGGTCGTTTGCAATGCCTGTAGGATTAGGGTCTGATCTGATCTGGGAGTAGGACTTTGGGCTTTGGGTCTTGTGGCCGTGGGGGTGAAAAGGTTTCGTTGGCCAGAGCCGGTTCCGGAAAAGGGGGGGTGTGCAGTATCTAAATGCATCAACTGTTCTTGTATAAACTTACTTGCTAGCTGCGACTTTGTGGATTCAGTTGTACATTTCAGGGGCATCATGTCTTGGTCTTCGTTTGCAGAAACCCCCAGTTCGCGGCAAGTTGGCTTTGCTTGAAGAAACCGAGAAATCCTAAACCAGAGAATCTAAACTCCCATGCACCATCATACACCCCATGCAACTCAAAGAACAGCTGACATCAACAAAGTCGTCTGTTGGATTCCGACTGAACGCCGCTCAGCCGTAACTTGCTTCTGTGTGGGAGTTCTCAATCCAGAGTTTAATGGCCGTCACCAGAGATGGTCTTGGAGCACAGGGCTGAGTTTAGTTCTTGGGTTGAGGTCGGGTCAGTAAAGGACGGGTTGGATTAAGTTCTTAGATGCAGGTTGGGCTTTGGGGTTTAGGTTGGAGTTTAGGGGCAGGGTGGGTTTGGGTTGAACCTTGAGGCACCCGGGTCGTGGGGAGTATTGGGATTCTGTATAGTGAGAGTGCTGCATGTGGCCTTTGGGTCAGGGTGCAGGATCTGCAGCATGTTGTGACGTGCAAAGTGTAGAACTCGCGCAGGGCAGACCTACACCAACACCACGGACATTTGGTCACTCGGGGTCGTTCTCTATGCACCTCGGGCGAGCTTGCGATGGCTTCAGAAGATCCTCCAAGGTTTGGTACAGCTCGCCCAAACTAGCACCCGCATTGCCTTAAGATCGGACCCTACACCCCTTGGCATGTTGGGGAAAGGTGTATTCACGGTATCAGAGCCTGAGCAGAGATGCCTCGTAAGCCTGAGCCATTCAGCACGAAGTTCCCACGGAGCTGTGATGGCATGCCGTGCAAATCTTGAGGGTCGCTCGACAAATCCTGGCGCCCGTCGTTTGGGGGGGTTGCCCTCTGACCCCCCAAAACCGATGATGAAGCATTCCATTCCGGACTCGACCAAGGAGCTGCTAACTCTGGAGCTACCTTTCAAGGGAAAGAGCCTGCAGGACAAGTCGGTGTGTTTCCATGTGGGAGGGCATGGTTTCAGGTTTTGCCAGCTCTTTCAGGTTAACGTTTGGGGGTCTCTGGGAATGGAGCTTTGTAGTCAGGAGCTCTCATTCTTCTTTCGCAGGCTCTGAGAGCCAGAGCTCGGCCGGGCCTTGGCCTTGACGGCTCTTTTTTCACTGCGTCGTCTCCAGGGCTCGAAGTCGGACTTCAGAAAGGAACCTTTGTCGAGAGCCTTCGCCCGAAAGTGTAATTACCCGGACTGTGTGACAATGGTTTTTGAGCAGACATTGTCCTGCAGAAAAGCATCCAGTTCTTTCGCCGAGCATCAAAACCAATTCCGCGAGGACGTCATCGCGGCAGTCCTCCGCGGGCAGCAGCTTGGCTGGCCAGCTGCTGTTTCTGGAAGAAGAGAGGCATAGCTCCCACTACTGTTGGCATGTGCGCACCGCTCCTCCCTGTGGCCACTGCTGGTGCTACCACTCCTCCGCTTCCTCCTAGCCGTGACCAGCCACTGCTACCATTTGCACGGGCCTTCTGAGGTACACCCCGATCCCCAGCTACCGGCCGCAGGCCTCTGAAGAGTTTGCGAGGGTTGGGTTTCTTCCAGTGTGGGTCCTCTCGTAGAGGCTTTAGGGACGTTGAAACCCGTTACTGTACAGAGGGGCATGCAAACCGCGACCGTCGTTCCCTCCAAAGTCCGAAGTCCTGAAGCCTCACACCGGAAGCGTAAATCCAAGCTCCAAGCAGGCGACCCAGACCTGAAGTTCTCTAGCCTCATCGCTGCGCCTAAGGGCTGTCTGCCAAAACCTTGAACAATCACGAACTTACGGCCGGAAACGCAAAGTACAGTGGACCTAATCTCGACGACTTTACTGTCCTGCAGTGAGGAGTTCTCGCAGATCGTTTCGACGATGCCGCACGTCCTCAATTGGTCTTGTTGCTGTGGGTTTGGGGTGTGGGGCTTGGGATCATCCTTTCCTGGTTTGGTGGAGCTTCTTTGTCCGGACTTGTGGCTTTGGGCTTGCAAGTACAGCGGGACCTCTAGAGCGGTAGCATGTGGAGTTAGCTCCTATCCTTCCGCTGGGAGGATGCTGATTGAGGCTCCAAAGACAATGCCACTACTACAAAGAATGGCCGTGCTTATCTCGCACATGCTACTTACTATGAGCCAATCATGTGGCCCTTGTTGCCACGGTTGTTTCTCGTCGCTTTCGTGTAATTGCAAAATTAGCGATGAAAAGTTATCATCAGAGTTTCTTTGTGCCCTTCTTCTTCACTCCAAGTCTTTGTTTGCCTCTTTGTCGCCTGCCGTGATGCATCTTGAAGCTCAGGCACCAAGTCCAAGGATTCATGCCAGTATCCCTCGGGTTTCCCCAAAAGCACCACCTCCTCCCCCATTGCCCGGGAGCTGCGACAGGCTCACGAGAGATCCAGCCAAGAGACCCACGGCTGAGATGCTGCTTCGCAGGCTGGAACGGTGGAGTCGTTAGAGCTTCAGATCTGGTAAGTGGTTTGGGAATGCAAGTGCACTCTTTGCGGTTTGGGGCATTACTTAGCTTCGTCCAAGACCCATACTATGACCCATACGTGCCTGTTCATTCTACACGAGCAGCCCCCCATACACCACATATAAGGCGACTACTATGCAGTACGAGTACTAGCACTAATACTACTAGTCGTCGTCGTAGTAGTAGTAGTAGTCGTCGTCGTCGTCGTCGTTTTAGTCGTCGTAGTAGTCGTCGTCGTAGTAGTAGTAGTAGTGGTCGTAGTCGTAGTAGCAGTAGTAGCAGTGGTACCAGTAGTAGCGGTAGTAGTAGCAGTAGTAGCAGTAGCCCATGCATATGGGACAAAATCTGAATAGCTGCCAAGCGTTTACTGAAAGGGCCGAGGCTAGCCTCCGTGGCTTAGCTCCTCTTTGATCTGGCTTGTGTGATATTATGCCGGAACTGCAGCTGCTTTCGCCCACCTGAAGCAACTGCTTCCCGTGTCAGGACTAGTGAAGTATACCCAAAAGAAGCCTCACCTCATCGACGTTGCAGCAGCTGGCAAGTGAATGCCAGCGGTAGCAGGTTCAACAGAGCTTCTGAAGGAAGCCATGAACTCGCCAAGAAGAGAGCCCTTCTAAGTGTAATAGTCAGGGGCCTCATTCCGAAAAATTGCGAAGTCGCCCGGGAAGGCTCTCCCGCTCCGGGAAGCTCCGTGCCAACTCCGCCGCAGCGAAGATGGTCGAGGCTTTGAGCCCGCCAGGGGCCCAGAGTTTACGACGCGAGCATGCCCCCGCAAGTCACATCCGAAGATCACTCAGCCGTACTGAGCCAACTTTAGCGATGCATGGTGTTCAGAGTGACCCGAGCAGTTAATCGGGAGAAGTCCAAAACTGCCTCCGACCAAGGGAGCCCTCACTGTCGGGTGACTTGCGGCGGGAGCAGGAGGTCAGAGATTTTCTCGTGACGATGCCCCCAGGTTTGAGACTTTCGACTGTTCCCGCTTTGCGGAGCTGCCTGTTGCAGAAACATGAACATGGGACGATGTAGGGTGAGGGTCGGGTGTCCTGAGAGTGGAGAGCCCCAAACAAAGACACGCTGTGCCAGCCGGGGCTACGTGGGCCTGAGAGCTTTCGCAGATCCAATGTCGGCGGCAGAGAATGCAGACACGGCTGGACGACTCCAGACACAGTTTAAGACTTAGACCTACAAGTATTCCTCTCATCAGAGAAAGCAGACACGGCTGGACGACTCCAGACACAGTTTAAGACTTAGATGTACAAGTCTCTGTCTCCATGCAATGCTCACTCACCTCTCCGAAAACGAAAGCTGCTCTTGGTCCAGTTCCATGGTGCACCACCGCGGCCACTTCCGCCTTGGGAAACCGCCGAAGAGGCCTTTTGCGGGCCAGCCTCTTCGGGGGAGAGGGAGAAAGAGGGCCGGTTGCACTGAATCCAAAGTGCTGGCAACAGCAGCGGAAGTGATCAGAGCAATGGAAAAGAAGCTGCAACTAGTAATCGGCACATGTCCAAGGCAACACTGGAAGTTAGATTATGCAATATCTGTAGCAGCCCTGTCGTTTCCGTAGCTTGGTGGTGTTGATGGTGGACAGTGATCCATAGACTGCCATAGTCAGAGACTGCTCGAACCTGCTTCCTCTTGTCAACGTTTCTCAACAGGTTGTGCGCGTGCGCCGAAGACCGGCGAGTGCAGGACCTCAGGCAAGCATCTTTGACGCTTATGGATGCAGCATAGTATTCATGGTTGCCTTCGCAGGATTCTAGTGGGCACATGCTGCAAGCGCACGTGAGTTCTGGTCAACGTCTCATGGGATGCAGTCTCTAGAGCGTGACATGCCATCAAGATCAGAGTGCAATGACGGAGGAATTGCAGGTTCGATGTTGGAAGGAGCCACCGTAGCAACGCACGCAGCACCGACATCGCAGATGGATGGTGCAGGCAAAGCCTCCTGCGAAAGTGCCGACACCGCCTGTCTCCGACTCCTCCAGCGGGTGGCCTGTGCTTGCAGTTGCGGCGTAAAGCTTGCTGTTTCTCTGGCGTAGTCCAGTCAACGCAGCTCCTAATTTTTATGGTTTCCAGGATGGACCAAGGCTTTCGTGAGGATCTGCGATGATAACCATTCTAAGTAGCGCGCTCTGAGCGATGATCATGGCTGCATCCTGGACAGGGCGGCTGCGCGACCGCGCGACCAGCGCTGGGAGCAGCGGCGGCAGGCTCCTTCGCTCCCTTGATGTCAGATTCTGCTCCACCTTAGAGCCCGTTTGGGTGGCCCGCCCTGTGATATACTCTTCCAAGCTGCGGCAGCCGGTGGATGTTGCTTCAAGGTCTCAGGACATGCGAGTTTCAGGATTCAGTGTTTGGCGCGGTTGGGTTCAACACGGCTCCTGGGATTAAGCCAAAAAGAAGCCTGAACCCAGAAACAGAACCCCAAAGCCCAAGACCCAGGCTCTAGTTCCCGAGCCCTGATGGGATCCCCAAGTTTGGAGCTCCGAAGGCCCGATTCCTGGAGAGCGGAACCGACCAGGATCTCGGCTCAGATCTCGGTGGGTCTCGTTTCGGCGAATTACTACAAAGCTGTGAGGGCTGCCCTTGACCGTGACTGTGAGTGTGACCTTGGCCTGTCATTGTCTCTTTACCTGAAGGGGTGGCCCCACATAGAGAGCAGGAGTTGCGCAGAATGCAGGTCCTGGAAGAAGGGAGGGGCCTTTTTGTTTCGGGTCGTGAGATCGCGGGGCATTGTGCTCAAGCAGGATTCCCGGGACACCGACACCACTGTGGAACCGGTGGCTCGTCAGGAAAAGCACCGGCCGATGCTGCATAACAGCATCTCTAAACAGCTTTCAGCCCCAAAGTCCGCAAGATATAAAAAGCGGATTGGAATCCTGATGTAGGAATGTAGGAGAGTCTATCAGTCTATCCCAGGGCTTACTGCGGCACGATGCAGCAGTCCAAGGGTCCAGGATGCCACGTCAAGCTTCAGACAACTTAGGAAGCCCCTCAACAGCCATCCCAAACCACTTAGGGCCCTGTGGCACCTGCCGGGCTCACTCGGCCGATGCCCAAAGCACGGTGACCGCATCCACGACGAGGGAAGAGGAGGCACGAGGACGAGGATGGTCAGCTTTCACAGAATTCTACTTGGCAGTTTGGTACCTGTCCTGATGTTTGTGGCTGTGCGGATGCTGCTACGCCGGAGCTTGCAGCCGCTCAACATGATAGGATTGCAGCCATAAAGAACAACCTTCATTTATTCGCTCTCATTCTCCATCATTTGCCTATCATTGTCTTGATGTTGTCTCTCCTTGCATGGCGCTTCAACCACGTTTTCGACTCTTTGGCACCACCAAGTCTTCTCCTGTGCAAGCTTGTGCACGCAGGGTGGGCGAAGGCGAAACTTACGAGCCGCCGCCCAGTTGTCTCACAGAACCCAGTGCAGCTGCAGACCCTACAGGTGCGCTGGAAAAAGAGAGTTCTCAGCAATGAAGGAGGATTTTCATAGCTGATGTTGATGATCCTTATCAGCGCGATGACGGCTTCCGGATCTCAAGCCAAGCTTTCCAGCAGATGCCTTTGCCCAAACTGTTCTCTAGTTTTGTGTATGGCTTGTATTGTGTGCTTACCTTGGCTGATGTTTGCATTGCTTCAGTCAAACTCGGGTTTTGACATTCAAGCGCAGAGACGGTGCCAGCCGGGCCGCAAGCTAAACCAGCGTTATTGACATGCCTGAAAAGCGGTTGAGCGGCCACGACCGATCTTTTCGAGTCTAGGCTTTGATGCCTCTTGGTTTTTGCACCTGCCCTGCCCCATCAGAGTGAAAACTGCAGCCGAGCCACAGAGCAACTCTCTACACAGCAGGCAGAGGTGCTGACTGTTGGAATCCCTCGGTGAAACCATGCATGTGCTCCGTCAGGGTGGGAAGAATCGATTCGATCAATTCTTGCGGCGGCCGATTCGGCCGATCGGTCGATTCAATCGATGGGTGGGGGTCGTTGATGTGTGCATGCGTAGGCTCAACTTGACCGTTATTCGAGATCCTGCGGCTCAGAGATACATCACTGACATCTGGAGCATTGACTTGACCCACAATTCGGGCAATTTTCAACAAGGCTCGCCAGACTGCTCGCTTCCAGGGGTTTTGAAAATCGCATTTCAGAGCGGATGACATGCACGTGCATTGTTGTTTTTCTCAACCCTCCGCCGCAGACTCCGAAGATAAGCATGGAGCCTGCGAAGTATGACACGCACAAATCGACAAGTGTACCTATGGTCGGGCGCCCCAGAGTGCAGCTCTTAATTTAGGGTTTTAGGCTTTAGGGTTTTAGTCGGGTGTTGAGCTTTGGGGTGTCGCCCTTCGTGGCGTTAGGCTCGGGTTCTCGCCCTTCGTGGCGTTAGGCTCGGGTTCTCGCCCTCCGTGGCGTTAGTTAGGCTCGGTCGGGTTCTCGCCCTCCGTGGCGTTAGGGTAGGGTGTTAGGGTAGAGATTAGGGCGTTAGTTAACAGTTAGTTAGTTGGTTTTGGGGAGTCGGGTGTTACGGCAGACATTGGCCTTTTTGAATAGGGTAGGGGTCTCGCCCGGGTCGGGTGTTAGGGTAGAGGTTGGGGTGTTCGGGTAGGGGTCTCGCCCTTCGTGGCGTTAGTTGGATTGGGGTGTCGGGTGTTTTTTGGTAGACAAGAGATTACGCTTCAGGTTTCTAGGGACTTGGATGAGATCAACAAAAAAGATTATCACCAGACCTCCCGTTACCGAAATGATGCTTGAGGGTTTGAGGTTTCGGGTGTTAGGGGGGGGGTTCACGTCGTACGTCCTCATGGAAAATTCTTTGAGAGTTCACGGTTTGCGGTTCGAACTTATGGCGCCCCACATGGTCCGTGCACCTCGCGAGACCAGGCGCAAGCCCCAATACAAATCTCAAGACTGTCTAGTTCTTCGAGCCTTCGAGGTCTTGGATTCGAGGTTGCATCAAATTGCACTGACCGGACAGCTTGAGGCATCTCGGAGAGTGAACTCCCCCAGCTTCGGGCGATGATCTCATGTTCCGCATGCGTGCAATCAGCATGCTCGGAGAGTGGTGGAATGTGTCGGCCTGTGAAGTTGTGATTCGTTACGCAAAGAATAAGGGCCAGCCGGAAGTACTCTGCGTAGTCTGGCATCCGTGGAGAAACCAGGGGGTTGTGTTGGATGATGTTGCAAAATGGCTCCGCTGCTCGCTGTCCGTCCGTTTCGTTTCAGAGGAGGCATGCCAACTGACATTGTGACGATTTCATCTAGTCTTTGAGCTACAATGTCCCCAAGAACGTCATGGATCTGGTTGTCGGTTCGTAGGGAGGCGTCCTCTTCTTTGCTTCTCTTGATTTCTCCCCTTCTTGGTTTTCACGGTGGTCGAGGTCGTCCCGGCCTGAGGGTGGTCGTACGAAGAAATCCAGAAGCCCTGAGGCCTAAACCTCAAACCTCCCGAAGCTTCCGCGGCAGAGCCTGGAATTTTTCATCACGGGCCATCTATCCCTGTTCCTGCACAATGCCTGGACCTGCAAGGCTCCGTGCATGTTCTTGCGAACAACAAGATGAGTCAGACTGTCCGGGACAAGTTTATTGACGCTGCGACAGGCTCCGCGATGAAGCAGCGTATTTGTGAGACTGTGAGAATGTCCAGTTCCGGCTGCCTTGCGAACAGGACAGCGCCTAAAATTTCGACAACAATGCAGCAACACGTCCAGGATGTTCGTGGCAATATCCTTTAGTGTCCCGCTTTACTTTGCGAAGCAGCACGAGGCAATTGTGACAATGTCCGTACCAAACAGACTGTTTCCCAAAGCGTCAAGAAACACACGTTTCCTCACCGTTCCGACTTGTTTCTGCAACCATCAGCACGAATTGTGTGTGACAGTGTCCTCTGCTATACAAACTTGCTGCTTAAGTACTGATCTGTTCACAACCCTTCTAGGACCCTTATTCTAGACATATGAATGCCCCACAGTAGCTTTGCCATGCTCCGGATTCCAGCGCCGAGCCTTGCTTGGTTCCAGACGGCTGAGGTGGCGAGGTCGCGTCCACCAGACATATGCACGCATTGGGGCGGGTACCTCAGAGCCTGCCGGGAGATCTTGAGAGCACACGTGTAACATGGAAAGGATTGGAAGTCTTAGCTCGTAGGCTTGGGGCCCTGGGGGGGAGCAATGAGATCTATGGCCCGTCTATGGCCCTTTCCTGGAATCCTTCGGGAATCCTTCAACGAAGGTGATGTCCCTCTGGCATACTCCCTGCCCGTCCCTCACCCATGTGTTTAATATTGGAGGCTCATCGATTTCTGTTTTAATTAATCTGGGCATCTAACATCGCGGCTGAAGAGGTTAGGTCCTGAGGTGTTGGCGATCAGGATGCTCAGCGGGAGGTCGAAACTTCGCGACTTGTCGTGCTCTTCGTTGAATCCTAAACCAAGGTGCCTGCAAGGAAGCTTGCTGGCACATTCATCTTTCCTTCGTTTGCTAGCTGTACTTGCACCGCCTACAAAACCGCGGTCTGTCGTGTGATTCGTTTGACGTGCCGTTTTGTGCCGCCAGCCTTTCGTGTGCCTGGATTGCTGCTGAGCTGCTGTGACCTTCACTTCCATGCAGCTAATGCGAGTTCGTGGCTTGATTAACCTCCAAACTCTGTCCTGCAAAGCACCATCCGGTTCAGTGTGCCTTAGGCCCCAAACCACAAAGTTAAGTTGCAGGGCCCCATACAAATCCAGAGCTCGCAGGTGCTGAACACCGTGGTCAAAACAACCGCCCAGAACAAAGTGGAGACCATGGAAGTTGTGCCCCGCGCTGCCGACTCTGTTGCCTAGCCCTGAGCAGGGCTTCGACTCAGAACATCGCCGGATGCAGACACTGTCGGGCGGTTCGCCGTGCAGTTTGAATGCTTCTTGGTGCACACTTGTGGCCCAAGTATCGTCTGCTTCCATTGGGCCGACCACTTACCAGTCTGACCCTACTTCGCAATGCTCAGCGTTCAGCTGCCAATCCGACTGCCCGTGGCATCTGCGCCTTTGCCAAGCACACTTGTGCATGGAGAAGCGCCCGCTCGGGGCCGCGGAAAGATGTCGCTGGCAGTCGGCGGCGTAAGTCTCTGTTTCTGCAAGGCGATCATGCAGAAGAAGGGGCGTGCCGCTGCTGCTGCTGCTGTGCGCGTGGTTTGCCAGGCCAGTGATGAGCCCCCTTCCATGGCTCAGACTGCGATGCGGGGCCCCTTGACCGCAACAGGCTCGGGCAAACCGCTAACGGCCGAAGAGCTCGAGGCTTGCCGTGAGGAGCTTGAGGAGATCAAAGCGAAGTATGGTCTTCTGGAGCCGGAGCGCGCCCACATGGATGAAGAAGGCATCAAGTGGCGTTATGGAGGAAAGCCTGACTACTCTCTGACAAACCTCCTCTATTTGAAGGGAAAAACCAAGAACCACCCCGAAGGATCCCTTGAGTTGATTGTGGAGAACCTGGTGAAGACGTGGGAGATGGAACGCTCCCACAAGACCGATCCTGATCAGCATCGGTCCGTTGACCCGGAGAAGTTCCACATCTCGGCCAATGGATGGAAGAAGTTCGACAACAAGGAGGCCAACCGAGTCGGGAATTACAACGTCTTGCTGGCTGGTTGCCCTGCGGCAGTCTATGACGCCGAGAACATCACTTGGGAGCAGTCGCATGACAAGTTCCACGATGCCTTCGCCGCCTTCCCCTGGGAAGTTCTCGAGGTCTTCTCAGGGCCGCCCTGTGTGGCCTTCACTTGGCGCCACTGGGGAGAATTCACCGGGACCTACGACGGCAACAAAGGATCCGGTGAGTTGGTGGAGATGTTTGGATTCGGAGTGGCCACTGTGGATGATCAGCTTCGCCTGGTGGACGTGGACATCTTCTACAAGCCCGAGGTCTTCTTGGAGGTCCTGCGCGGCAACAAGACGCCGGAGGAGCTCAAGGGGGCACAAGACCTCGTGGGAGCTGGCTCCGTGGAGGGGTGCCCCCACCTTGCCACACTCCAGGCCAAGGACTCCTGAAGAGCCTCTGAGTGTTTGGGCCCATGAAATATGATAGGACCCTCTGTCTTGAAAGATTTGAAAGAGGTTCCTCTTTCGTGAGATAGAAATGTGGACACGCTGAGTGGTCCGCATAGTTTTTCTGAAAAATGAAGAGGGTGACTGGGGCTTGACCAGACGATGCTACACAGTGGCACACAAGACCACGCTCAAGCGTGCGACATTTCAGCCTGTGATGCCACAGAATGTTACTGTACACTATACTATAGTCGTCTATAGTCAATAAAAAGTCATTGTTGCGAAAGTACTGCATGATAGTTCGGCAATCCCTTGGCCCCCTTCGATCTCTTCGTGTCGAGTCACTGGATGATTTGTGACAGCTGCCTGACAGAAAAGCTCGTCGACCAGTGCATGCTGCCACCATGTTAGTCAAAATGAACTGTTGAGTTGCTGCAGACAGTCGTTTCGGCTTTTCGCACTGCATAGTATGATTCTCTTGTATGCAAGAACAGATAGAATACGTGGTCTACAGTATTCGGGTCACTGGCGAACGTGGCAAAAGCTGACACTTCGAGGTTTGCCGCAGAGGGTTTCTGCCAAGAAAAAATTCTTTGGCAGAGAATGTTGACCCAGCTTGGGGTCGGGAGCTCAGATGCCAAGGGGCATGGATACTGCAGACACCACTGCTAGCTGTTGGTACTACCACCACTGCCAGCGTTAGTAGTCGTCGTCGTAGTGGTAGTGAGTGGTGAGTGGTAGTGAGTGGTAGTGGCAGTGGTAGGCAGTAGTAGGAGTCGTAGCGGTAGCAGGAGAAACCGGGGGATTGTGTTGGATGATGGTGCAAAATGGCTCCGCTTCCCTTTGCTCGTACAGAAATCTGGCTTGTGTGATATTATGCCGGAACTGCAGCTGCTTTCGCCCACCTGAAGCAACTGCTTCCCGTGTCAGGACTAGTGAAGTATACCCAAAAGAAGCCTCACCTCATCGACGTTGCAGCAGCTGGCAAGTGAATGCCAGCGGTAGCAGGTTCAACAGAGCTTCTGAAGGAAGCCATGAACTCGCCAAGAAGAGAGCCCTTCTAAGTGTAATAGTCAGGGGCCTCATTCCGAAAAATTGCGAAGTCGCCCGGGAAGGCTCTCCCGCTCCGGGAAGCTCCGTGCCAACTCCGCCGCAGCGAAGATGGTCGAGGCTTTGAGCCCGCCAGGGGCCCAGAGTTTACGACGCGAGCATGCCCCCGCAAGTCACATCCGAAGATCACTCAGCCGTACTGAGCCAACTTTAGCGATGCATGGTGTTCAGAGTGACCCGAGCAGTTAATCGGGAGAAGTCCAAAACTGCCTCCGACCAAGGGAGCCCTCACTGTCGGGTGACTTGCGGCGGGAGCAGGAGGTCAGAGATTTTCTCGTGACGATGCCCCCAGGTTTGAGACTTTCGACTGTTCCCGCTTTGCGGAGCTGCCTGTTGCAGAAACATGAACATGGGACGATGTACGGTGAGGGTCGGGTGTCCTGAGAGTGGAGAGCCCCAAACAAAGACACGCTGTGCCAGCCGGGGCTACGTGGGCCTGAGAGCTTTCGCAGATCCAATGTCGGCGGCAGAGAAAGCAGACACGGCTGGACGACTCCAGACACAGTTTAAGACTTAGACCTACAAGTATTCCTCTCATCAGAGAAAGCAGACACGGCTGGACGACTCCAGACACAGTTTAAGACTTAGATGTACAAGTCTCTGTCTCCATGCAATGCTCACTCACCTCTCCGAAAACGAAAGCTGCTCTTGGTCCAGTTCCATGGTGCACCACCGCGGCCACTTCCGCCTTGGGAAACCGCCGAAGAGGCCTTTTGCGGGCCAGCCTCTTCGGGGGAGAGGGAGAAAGAGGGCCGAATGCAAAGTGCTGGCAACAGCAGCGGAAGTGATCAGAGCAATGGAATAGAAGCTGCAACTAGTAATCGGCAGATTTCCAAGGCAACTCTGGAAGTTAGATTATGCAATATCTGTAGCAGCCCTGTCGTTTCCGTAGCTTGGTGGTGTTGATGGTGGACAGTGATCCATAGACTGCCATAGTCAGAGACTGCTCGAACCTGCTTCCTCTTGTCAACGTTTCTCAACAGGTTGTGCGCGTGCGCCGAAGACCGGCGAGCGCAGGACCTCAGGCAAGCATCTTTGACGCTTATGGATGCAGCATAGTATTCATGGTTGCCTTCGCAGGATTCTAGTGGGCACATGCTGCAAGCGCACGTGAGTTCTGGTCAACGTCTCATGGGATGCAGTCTCTAGAGCGGGACATGCCATCGAGATCAGAGTGCAATGACGGAGGAATTGCAGGTTTGATGTTGGAAGGCCGTAGCAGTGCACGCAACACCGAACCCGCAGATGCATGGTGCGGGCAAGGCCGCCTACGACAGTGCCGACACCGCCTGTCTCCGACTCCTCCCCGAACCCGCTTCGCTGTAAGCAGAGTCCTGTAAAAGTTCGGAGAGTCCTTTACCAGTCTCGCGGCACCATGCAACAGTCGAAGAATCCAGCAAGGACAGGGAAGCGCTTCAACAGCCATCTCACATCCCGCCCGGGCCCTTTGGGATCTGCCGAGGCTGACGCAATTGATGCCCAAAGCACGTTGACCGCGTCCACGACGAGAGGGAGGCACGGGGATAGTCGGTTTAGGCTTTAGGGTTACTCATCTTTCACTCATTGACCCTGCTCTGAAGCCTGGCAGTTTGATATCTGTTGTCATGGTGTTTGTGATTGTGCGGAAGACGTTGATAAGCCGGAGCTCAAGATTATGGGTTCGCAGCAGCAACTGGCTTTCATTCCTGTAATTCCCATGTTCCTGTCGTTGTCATGATGTCTGTCATTGCCTACATTGATGCTGTAACCGCGCTTGCGATTTTTTGGCACTACCTGGTGACTTAGTCTTCTCCCGTGCGGGCGAAGGCACAACTGCGAGCCGCCCGCATCTGTCTCACAGAGCCGAGCGCAGCTGCAGACCCTACAGGTGTGCCTTAAAAAGACAGTCACGCAGCCATGACGAAGGATTGTTACAATACTCCGCTGATGATTATCAACAGGATGATGGCTTCCGGATCAAGCTAGGCTTTGCAACAAATGCCATTGCGCAAACCGTTCTCTAGTTTCATTGCATGGCTTGCATTGTGTGCCTGCGTTGTCTGATGTTTGCATTTACTCAGTCAAGGCGGGTTTTTGACATTCAAGTGCAGAGACGCCACAAGCAGAACTTGACGCCTCTTGGTTTTTGCACCTGCGCTGCTGCATCAGAGCGGCTTCCCTCTTGGAACCGTTATGGCCCATCGGTCGAGAGCCGTAGGTTTGCGCACAAACACTGCAGCTGAGCCACGGAACAACTCACCATACAGGGCATCGACATCTGGCATTGCAGCCGTGCTGACTGTTGAGATCCCTCGGTGGAGCCATCTGCTCGGTGCACCTTACGAGTCCAGGCGCCAGCCCAAATTCAGATCCCCATCTCACGGCTGCATGGTTCTTCGGGTTTTTCAGGTCTTGGATTCGGGGTTGCGCCGAATGTGCAAAGTGTTGAGAGGACAGGCTGAGGCATTTCAGGGAGTGAAAGCCAGTTTCGGGCGATGAAACGACGAACCTATGTTCCGGATGCTTGGAGAGTGTTTGAAAGTGTTGGCCTGGGCCTATGAAGTTGAGTTGTTACTGTTGTTCGTTACGCAAATAACAAGGCCCAACCGGAAGTACTTCGTGTAGTCCGGCATCTGCAGAGGAAGCGGGGTGTTGTTTTTGATGATGTCGCAACTAGCATGGCTCCGCTGCTCGCTGTCTGTCCGTTTCGCTGTAGAGGAAGATGTACCAACTGGGCTTGTCACGATTTCATCTTGTCTTGGAGGTCTCCGATGTCATCAAGACTGTCATGGATCTGGTTGTGGGTTCGTCGGTCTAGGATGCGTCCTCTTCTTTGGGTCCTCTCTGCATCTGACTTCTCCCTCTCTTGGGTTGTGCAGGGGTCCAGGTCTTGGAGCGATTCTCTTGGCGTCTTTTTGTCCCCGTCCCGGCATGAGGGTGGCCGTATGAAGAAACCTTAAGACCCTCAGCCCTAGACCTTACGAAGCTTCGGCGGCAGAGTATGTCTTTTGCATCGAGTGCCGTCGGGCCATCTTTGTTCCTGCCAATGCCTGAACCTGCACGGCTCCGCGCCCGTGACAACTTGTTTACGTCTAGGTTTTTTCCTGTGGCAACAAGACGAGGAGGACAATTTTATTGACGGCCCGACAGGCTCCGCGATGAAATGTCGTTTCAGTTCTGGCTGCCTTGTGAACAGGACAATGCGACGAGAAGAAGCAACATGTCCAGGATGTGCGTGCAGCACGTGGCAATTGTGACACTTTCCGTGCCATACCGCCTGTTTCTCAAAGCCTCCAGAAGCACGTTTCGTTGCCGTTCCGACTTGTTTCTGCAGCCATCAGCAAAAATTGTGCTTGACACTTTCCTCTGCCATACAAACTTGTTGCTGAGTAGCAGACATTTGGAACTCCTCGGGAGCTGATGTGTTCTCGGTAGAGCATGAGATCTATGTTCCTTTCCTGGAATCCTCCTGGCTTCAAAGCAAGTGCATGTCCCTTTGGCGTACTCCCTCCCCTTCCCTCACCCATGTGTCGAATACCGGAGGCTCGTCGATTTTCGCTTCAACCTGGGCATCTATCATCAGGCTGAAGACTTTAGGTCTTGAGGTGTTGGCGATCAGGATGCTCAGCAGGACGTCGAAATTTCGAGATCTTTCGTGCTCTGCGTTTAAGTCCCAAACCAAGGTGCCAGCAATGAAGTTTGTTAGCACATTCATCTTTCTTTCGGTAGCAAGTTATGTACTCGCACCGCTTGCCAAACCTGTTGTCTTTCGCGTGATTCGTTTGATGTGGTTTTTCTGCCGCGAGTGTTTCGGCCTACATTGCTGCTGTGATCTTCACTTCCATACGGCTGTTGCCAGTCCGTGGTTTGGTTGATCCACACAATCTCTCTCTCAAAGCACCATCCTGTCCAAT